TCTCTTCAAAGGTGGTTTGTGTGTAAACCCTGTCAACTGATCACGATTTGTGAGGATTACCGGGCTTGTGTCTCTTTGTTAGCACACAGAGAAAGTGTTAGAAGTCAGATCAGTAGGAAGGATGTTCTGGTGATGAGTGATTTCTCTCCCCCATTATGCCTTCTGTAACCACACAGATGAGTTAATTAAGCTGTGCCAGAGGCTACGCACTAGCATTCCAGGTAGATGGGCCACAGCGATATTCAGAGACATTGCATATAAAAAAAAAGAACCTGTAATATTTACTTTGAAGTCTTTATGCATATAAGGCTGCCCTAATGCTAATTTGGCTGGCAAATTCTCAAAAAATACCCGCTTAGCACCTGCAGAACCTCAAAAGTCCACTGATTATTCCCTTGGAGGTTACAAAAACTGTTCTAACTGTGTGTGAACAGAAGATCCTCCAGTGCGTTTTTCCCCCAGAATCACCTCCATTAAAAGTGAGCTCCACGAAAGACAATTTGCATTTTTCTGACCCTAATAGCCCACCCTTTTGCAACTGGGTCTCTTTTTAGGCCGATCAGATTCCAACACAAGAGGATGATGACGACGTCATTTACCTGCTCCACTGGGCTGGGAGATAAGCTCATGCCCCTGCTGCTCCCTGGAATGTTCTGGCTGCTGTTTGTAGAGAGAGAGCTGTGTCTTACAGATGATGACAAATGGCATAAAAGCACCACAAGGAGCAATCCTATTACCTGTACAGTCAGCAGTAGGAAGAGAGGTGTGTGTGTTGGCCTTTTGGAGAAGAGATGGACCATCCCTGATTTTTCAGAAACCCATTGTGAAGCTGTTAACTTATGCTTTACTCAGCTGGAACCTGTTTTAAATCAAAGTTAATATTTCTAAATCTGTATGAGATATTTTTAACGGCATTTTCCTTTGCTAACGGACAACACGGGAAGCCTGTGGATGACTGGACTGATGGACTTCACCCATGTTTATCCACTTGTACTTTGTTTATGTGTGCCTAAAACATTTTTAGAAACCTCACAGAGCCTGAGAATGGTAACCAAGCCTCTCTGGCTAAGTGTTGCTCTCTGTCCTTCTGGCTCACTCTCCGTTTATTTAACCAGCCTTTTCACTCCTGTTTCCTTTTCGCATTCTTTCTTCTCTAACTGGCTGCCACCATATATTCTCTCAGTTGCTAACCACTTCCTATTCTGCAACCACTGACCTTAACACTGACCTTGCCTTGTCTGTGCCACTGAGATGAGAGAGAGAGATACCATATCCTTTGCTTCCCCCTCACTATGCTGCGAGGTTGAATTTTGCCTGTCTCATCAGTCTTCCGGCTGCTGGAGTACACCTTGTTATTTCTTCCAGATTCCTACACATTTCGCTTTTCAGCTGATCAGACTGGAAAACATTGCTCTTGGCTCAAAGACATGCTGGGCCTTGGCATACACAGTAGACCCAAGCCGTCAATACAGATTAACTTTATCAGATAAACTTTATCTGCTGCGTTTGAGCGTCCTTTGGTTGGGTACCAGCCTAATTCTGGGCTACGATTGATACCGCGACTCTAAGGAGATCAAAATTGGCAGCCATTGTTTTTGCCATAAGCAGCCTGCTGCTGGCTTTTCAAGGTGGATGATTCTGTGCATCACTGGTAACAAGCCTGCTTTTCTCTTTGTATTATTTGGTGATTAAACATGGCATTCTGGGTGGAACTTAGAGGTTAAAAGAGAACACTCCAAACAGTCTCCATTTCTGACCGATTCAAAAACTTGCTTGCACATAAAGCTCCCAGTTAAGCTCCAAATTCTGTCATGGTAGTATATCTATCTATCTATCTATCTATCTATCTATCTATCTATCTATCTATCTATCTATCTATCTATCTATCTATCTATCTATCTATCTATCTATCTATCTATCTATCTATCTATCTGTGTGTGTGTGTGTGTGTGTGTGTGTGTGTGTGTATTCTTTCTTTCTAAAGGTCCCTGAGAGCAGTCTTTGCCACTTGCAGGCCAGTGAAGGACACAATCCTTCTAAGAATAGTCTCTAACTACGTTTTGGCATAAACATTCATATACGTCGCTTCACCACAAGAGGGCGCTAAGAGCACATGACAATAAGAGCTCATGTCACTTTGACCTGATGCATAATGATAGTTCTGTTGATTGCAAGTTTCCTATTTTATGTGCGTGTGTGCTTGTGTGTGTGTGTGTTTCTTTTCTATAAGCAGTGTGTCTAAAAATCAAATAAACAGCAAGAAATCACCACCACCTACTCCGTGCCTGTGTGACCTCACTTACTTAAAGCACAGACTGTATTCATTTTTCAGTCTGGACTGGGAACAGCTAAAAGGCCCAGCTGCTTTCTCTGAGATTTTTTCTCCTTGAATCTCAGAAAAAGGTGGTTCAGTAACAAGCTAAATAAAAGAAACTCTTAGCTATGTTGGCTTTGTAACTTTCTATAACACAAGAAAATAGAGTTTTCCAGCAACAAAGACAAATGAAGTCAAAACTGTTTTTGTGCACTCACAGTGACTGCTTGCTATGTGATGTATTTCTAAAGCCTTTCTGTGAGGCCCTGTCTGAACCCATTCATATACATATAAAGCTGATATAAACTAATTGTATGGGAACACAAGAGGGCAGTACAATAAAGCACGCTGTGGAGTGAAGTCTCTGAGTGTGGCTGAAAGAAAGAAGCGAGCTCACTCAAAACAAGCCTGGGTGGTGAGATGAAGAGGGGAGGCAGGGCAGCAGTAAATGATGCTAGCCTTCTACACCTTGTCAGTTATTAGGAGAAGGCAGAGGAGAAATCTGACATTACTTTGTGAAGTCTACAGAGAAAATAATTGGCTAGAGCAGGCCAGCACACTGGCAGCTAAAGTACCTGGAAGGGATGTTTTAAAGTCCCACAGCTAAAGGGAGCCAGAAAGATAAAAAAAAAAAAAAGAAGAAGAAGAAAAAAAGAAGACATATAAACTCAAAATCAAAAATTCAGCTCACACTACATCCACACTATGGATTTTTGTGTTCCAGCTTTATAAAGCAGGGCTGCAGTGTAACATGAGTTAATATTTCACACGGGCACAAGTGAAAATAAACTGAAGACAAGAATGGAAAAGAGAGCTCTTTCTGAACCTCGAATCATGCTCTCTGATAATCAGCCCACAAACCACCAGCTTCCTTCTATATTTGGTTTTAAGCGGTAAATGCAATCATTTGTTTCTGAGCTCTTATGTATATATATATAAGTCTTATATATATATAAGGCTGGGGTCATCAATTGAAATGTGTGAAGCCTCCAAAAATAGGTTTATGTAACAATCAATACATGTATGCATAAAATGTATCTTTTTTTTTTTTTCTTTTCTTTTTTTTTACAAAAAAGCATTTTTTTATTCCCCGATTGCTTATGCCACAAAAACTTTTGGGGACCAGGACGATGACATTTGTAAATGTTATTACTGGTCACAAACTCTTACTTTGAAACTAACAATATAACATTTTTAATCTTTGTGGCATAAGACTTAACAAACAGTAACATAAACTGCATTACATAGTGTTATATAGGCTAGTTTTGGCTGAGCCACATCAAATATCTCTTCTTAGTATTTTATGTGGATTTTTCTGTGACATTAAAAAAGGATTCACACAAGAGAATACAGACTATTTGCCTTTACTTCACCTTGTTTTTAGAAGGTAAGCTGTTCAGGTTCTTGGCCTCTCATTGCATCAGGTGTTTATCATTGACTGTGCTGGTGGAAACACAACACCATATTGTCACCTGTTCACGAGGCTCGCGCCTTCGTTTGCCACTCACCGCCAGAGAGGAGCTCTTCTTTGTCTGACCCAGATGTTCCCATATGTGAGATTGTCCTCACTTGTCTTGCACCCATTGATAAAGGTCATACGAATCACCTGAACCTCTGGGATAGTGTCTGTTCTACGATATATTTTCTTTTTCAGTTTACCCCCTTTTTTCCAAGTAAAGGAAGAAAAGCGATTGGACAGTACCCAGCAGAAAACACTCTGTGTGTGTTCTGATTCGTGATTAACTGTGAGACAAGGCAAGTACACTTAAAAACAAGAGAATAAAATCCAGCCACTGGAGATGCAGCGTGGCCGCTCACTTCCTTCATTTGCCTATTATAGAGCAAGTGTGTAGAAACAAGCCAAGATTAAGCTCAGCATTAATTTGCCGTTTGTTTGGCCTCTCCCCCTAACACTTAATCACTGAACACTTTAAATTAGAACAACTGTCTTCCAGGGTAGGATAAAGCAAAGAAAAGAAGAGGAGGTGGTGAGTGGTGAAATGAAAACAATTATCAGAAGGTGTAAATAGCCAACATTTTATTTAACATTACAGAAAGCACTTTGAAGCAGCACCCAGCAATAAACTAATTCCTGACATTAGTTCTTCTCCAGTTTATCAAAAGCAGATTTCTGTGGTGCTTTTCTCCCTCTGTTGGCAGCTTTAAGGTCTAGATGCAAAAGCGTTACTAAAATTGTAAAAGAAAAAACCCAAAAAAACCTGCAGGCTGCTACATCATTGGCGTTTAATGCAGTCGAGATTTGAATATCACGAAAGTGTCTGCGCTTTAATGCTCTGCGGCAAGACACAAGTAAGTTAGCATTCCTGCGACGTTCAGTCAGCATGCAGATAATTTTCACGAGCGTCACTGAATCATGAAGGACACTTAAGTCTGAGATGTGATCAAAATGCAGAAGCAGCGCCAAGCATTTGGACTTTGTTAAACTGTAGTGACGCAACAATGTCCATTTGTCTGCCCTCTGCTCCAAAGAGTCTCTGTTCTCTCCTGTTATGTGCGTGTCCCCGACATTTCGATCACACATCCTGACCCCTGTATGAAACGAGCAGGCCAGACATCAAGGACAGCTACAGTGAGAGCGGAAACAGTTAACAGGATGAAATGTTGCACAAAGTCAAAGCAAAAATACACATCTAGAGTGAAACTGGGGAAACAAATAGGGAAACAATAAAAAAATAAAACATTTAAAACTCTAAATTGGGGACATTAGTGTGTACTGAAGTGCACCTTGGACAGCCTGGAAATAGACTGTTGCTGCCCATGAAGCACCAGGCACTCAGTTACATAACAGACTGGTACCTGGATGTATAGTGCCATCATGTGCTCTGCTAGATTCATTACAATCTTAAAAAGACATTCAAAGCAGGGCTTGTAAAAATGTTAGAAAAGTTGTTTGTTTTTGCACATGTAATTCTAAAAGTGTCAGTACACCCAGCTCAAGCCTGTCATTGAAATTAAAGCTGTAAAGCTGGTAATATATATATGCAAGGTTTGCAGCGCAGCAGCAGTATTCAGTTTTGTGCCTGTTCTACTTGTTTGTGCTATAAACTGGTGTTGGGCCTTTTCATTCGTCTTTCAATGGACTTGAATCAGAATGAGAGACAGGAGCGCTGAGCTATGAAGGAATAAATCCCAGGAACAGGAAACAAGAGCAGGGCTACTGTTAGGGATACCACCTGGAAAGGATGGATTCTGCCTCCTCACACTTCTGGTGCGAAGTGTGGTTGTCTTCTTTGTTTGGATGGACAGACTATCTGTGGTAAAAAATTGATCTGTGGCAGATGTCGTGTTATCTTCATCGGTCATTTCTGTAAGGAGACTTGTGTCTGTGGTTGAGGTTTGCTTTGTTGCAGAGACATGAAGAGAATCAGAGCTAACACTTGCAGACATGTGATCAATAGTTAGGTGTGTGCCTGTGGTTTTGTACTTCAGGGTGGCCATGCTGATGCTGGGTGTGGCTGTGAAAGTGTGGTGTTTTGTGTCCCATGTCTCTCTTGGGGCAACAGGAGTGTTCAGCGAGGTAGAAACAGACAGATACCACCAGCCGGTGACACTAGCTTTGGGGGTCATAGAGGTCAGATCCTTGGCGCTGGCAGCCAATGGGGGTAAGTTGTAGGAGGCATAATGCCACCCTCCCGTCCTGCCAGGGCGCACCCCTCCACAGACGGGCTGAGTGTGGCATGGGCAGCCCAGGACACGTGCGGGGGTACGCTGAGTCCAGGAGAGCAAGTAACTGATGTCGGCGTAAAGGTGGCAAGCCCAAGGATTGTTTCCCAAAGCAATGACTTTGAGCGATGTCATTTTGTCCAAGACTCCAAGAGGCATTGCAGAGAAGCGGTTAGCATGCAGGTAGAAGTAAGTTAGTCTGGGGAGCCGATCTAAAGATCCGGGAAGTACTTTTACTAGCCAGTTGTGGGACAGGTCAAGAATCTCCAGGCGTACGGGTAGGTTGGTGGGCAAAGTCCAGAAGTGATTGTGGCTGAGGTTGAGCGTGCACAAACTGCTCAGCGTGTTGTTGATAAAGGTGGCTCTCTCCATTTTGTTGTCGGAGAGGTCAAGCAGCTGCAGGTTCCACTGGTAAACCGTGTCATTCTTGTCCAACAACTGAATGCGGTTGGAGGAGGCATAAATCCGCCAGAGGGAACGAGGTAGGTTTGCGGGCAGTCGGCTCAGCCGATTGTGAGACAAATCTAGAACGCGGAGATGGGTGTAAGCGGTAAGTTGGTCATCCAGGCTGTGGAATCGATTGTGGGACAGGTTAAGGGAGCGCAGGTTGTACTGTAAGTTGTTGGGCAGACTTCTTAGACCCCTCGAGGAGCAGTCTACCTCCCTGTGGCTGCGACTGCAGGAGCACACGGAGGGACACACAGCCAGAATTCGCAACCCAAGCCATAACACGAGCACGAGCTCCAGAAGAGAAAGCTTCCACCTACAAGAAAGACAGCAAACCAGTGTTATTTGTACACAGCATCATTTTCAGAAGGCACACTGAAAGCGAGGCCTGCAGGGTGTGAAAATAGTGAACAAAGGATACAAACATTTGCTGCCTGCAGGAGAAGCATTTCAAACTATACAGGCTGGTTCTTTCTCACTTTCTCTCCACAAACATACACACATCTCTCACACATGTGCACAGACAGGTAGCTTAATGTTTCCTGTGCATCACTACATTGTTTGCAGGTACACACATTAACGTCACATACCAAACTGACTCCCCCAATTATGCAGCCATGTCTTTAGAGATTCTGTAGCAGTATCCTTTATATGCAACATTAGGAAAGTGCTTAATTGTGTCCTTTTGTAGAACTGATAAGCGCTTGATCTGAACTCAAGGAGGATATTTCTAATCTATTGAAGAAAATCATCCATCACAAAAGGATGAGAAATCCCTGCTGTCATTTTCCCTGGCATCAGTTTGCGTGTTCAGTCATCAGCGCTTGTCAGTAAAGTCACTCCCATGCTCTCAGAGGAGGAGAACTAGCTCAGTAGATGGGTTTTTATTAATGACTCCACAGAGAGCTCATGCATCAGCCGGTCCGAAGGCAGGCGAAGACACAGTCGCGAGCTGTTTGCTGTTGAAACTGCAGTATCTTTGAGCCGAGGGTGTGGCAGAACGTGTGAGTAAAAAGAGTGATTAAATTTGTTCAGAACTCACCTTCTCATTTTATCATTCCACTCACTTTTCTCTGCTCCTTCTCGCTGTCCAGCCCCCTCTTTCCCCTGTCCTTTTCTGCTTTTGATCCCAGGACCAGCTGGTGTTCTGCTGAAGGTGTTTTTTTTCACCCTTTTCCGCTCATAGAATTGACCTCTGCCTACTCGACCATTTTTTTTTTTGTATCTTTTTTTCTCAGGCTGCCTTCACTTCTTTGCAGTTTGGTCCTTGGCTGCTCCTTGAAAAGCTGAGAGTTTACTACCGGCTCTTATGGATCTTTTGGGGTTGGCGTGATCACACACTGCAAGCTCTGGATTTACTCTGTGCAGTGGAAGTAAAAGGGGAGGGCTGGGGTGCTTGTGAGTGGGTAAGGTGGGGGTTGAGGGGGTGCATTAGGATGGAGGTAAGGAGAAATGTAGCGGATAATGAAGGGATCTCTGCATAAAAAGGACTACAAAGGAAACCACTTGGTCCCTTCCAAACCTGGCAGCTCTCAAGATTTCCCTCTGCATTTTAAAACGACAGCTGCTGCTGTGCTCGGATTTCAGCCCTGTTTGTATTTAAATAGGATCGACTGTTATCAGTTATCTCACATAATCTACACCCCCTCTTAAAGCCTCCTTTTGCAAATGTAATGATGTGCTTCAATTGGGTCTTATTTTCCTCGTAAATGTTGGAGGCTGCCACAAAAGAGCACCATGATTTATTGCAGAGCACTCTCCCTCTGCTGCAGCTTCCTACCTGTCATCAGCAATACAGGCAACTCTCCGTTCTGCACTGCATTGCTGTATTGCTACCACAAAATTAGACTTGGTCCAAAGAGACAGTTAATCAGTGTTTCAACTTTTCAAGTGCAACAAATTTGACAAAAATTATTTTTGCACAAAGACAGCTCACATTTCTGACTGCAGAACCCTGGCAGCAGTTAATTGAAATCTTCTTTTTTAAAACTATTGTCTCAGCTCAGTGGTCACCTTAACCAAAAACACATTTCAGCAAAGTGCTTGTTACTTCCTCCCCACCTTTTCTTTTCTGTACTTTCTTTTCTGGGTTTAGCAGCTTGCTGAGATGAGGTTAAGTTACATGTATCCTGTAACTGGCCCTTACAAGAAGCTTCACGATCACTCCACATCTGTCTACACCACCCTTAGCGTGCTATAAAACTGCTTTCAGCTCGTGCAGTGTTGCCAAATACTGCAGCAGTAGCAGGAAAGAAAAAAAAAAGAACACCCAATAACCCAAATTTGACTTTGTATACCTGCTGCACCATACAGGCAGTAAAGAGTTGCTGAAATTATTTACTCATTATTTCATTAATGTACATGCATCACCTAGAGCCATGCTTTTATTTCTCTCTTTTACTTTTTATCTCTTCTACTTTTGCATTCAGTGCCAGTGGTATAAATGCACTACCCAGCTCAGCAGAGAACAAACTATTCAGAACTGCTAAAGAAAGGTGCACATTCATCATGACGTCACCTGCAAGTGGATAAACAAAGTTCTGCACATGACAGCGGAAACAACCCCGTATTGGTTTTTTGGAAAAGTTTTCTGCGTGTGTGTGTGTGTGTCTGTGCTTCTATGTATGTCTTTTGTCAGCTCTGGCTGAGGTGAAAGAGAGCATTCTTTTAGAGTTGAGTGGCACTGCCTGGAGGACGCACATTCTCTGCTTGCTAATCAAGCAGACCGCTTACACACACACACACACACACACACGAATGCCAGCTCGTTACACAGCTGAAGGGCCAGTGATGACTCTGAATGATGGATCTCTGTTGTGCTGGTTGCGTGATTGTCAAATTAGAGTAAGAGAGGAAAAACACAAACACACAAGGTGAGCTGGGGGGAAAGAAACAAAAAGCTTATTCTAATGTTAAAATATTTTAATTTTCACACACAAGAATTGGAAGCAACATCACTCTATTGTTTTCCCAGTAATAAAATGGTTGACAAGCTTAGAATACACACAGCTGGTTGATTATCAAATTGAAATCTGTCTGGAGAAAAAAATTACAGTTAAAGGATTTAAAGCCAAAGTGAAATAAGGGCAGCTATACACAAAACTCCACATCACATCCTTTGGCAAAGAAAACAAAATGTTCATATATTAAGCTTCTTATATAAAAAGAGTGATGTAGGCTGTATAAGAACACAAATAGGGGGAATTATTTCATGAGCTACTCATAGTACGAAACACACAGTGTAAGATCCATAAAACCCGAGTATTTAGAAGTGGTGGGAATCTTAGGAATGAGATAGGAATCTTCTATTTCTTTTCTGCATCACCTTCCTCTTTGCCCTCAGAGGAGGCTGCTTCCACAGCTTGGCTGAGCTGGGCTTCGGTGGCCGCCTGTGGGTTGGGGGAGGGTGAATCTTCAGCTGCAGTTACAGGTGTAGCTGAAGCCTCCTCACTGTTGGCTGCATCTCCCACCGCCTTCTCCTCTGGTGTTTTCTCATCCTCCTTTACCTTCTCACTGTCTTCCTTGATGGTGCCGTTATTTGTCTCCCCTTGTGCTGGAGTTACCTCAGCCATTAACATGGTGGTCTCTTTGGCTGCTCTCTCAGAGTCAGGCTTGCTTTTGGCCTTATTCTCAGTCCCCATCCAGTACTCGTCGTTGCTGACAGGTTCGCCATCGGTTCTCAGACGTCTCTTCAACTTGCACACCTTGCACAGCAGTATCAGTGTCAATATCATAAAAAGAACGCAGTTTAATAACAGTACGCCAGACAGTATGTACAGATCACGGCATTCAGCTTTGAATTTTTGAAAAACACTATGGGTGGTTGTTGGTGTCTTCACAGTGGTGGTGGTGGTGGTGGTGGTGATGCTGGTAGTGGAGGCAGAGCTGATGGCAGGCTGAGATACACTTTCAGCCTTGCTTCTGGAACCAGGGGAGGTTGCTGTTGATAAACGATACGTGGATTGATTGCCATTAGATCCAAGGGTGGGTTGAGTCATTCTGTTAGCATCACTTTGCCCTGGGATAAACAGCAATACACCCAGGATGAGCAGGCCGTTCATGTTTGTATCTGTGAAGACATGTCAAAGCAACATGGTTTAAAATCCATCTATTGCAGTAATGTCAGAACAGGAACAGGAAAGAGACTAGTACAATTACAAGGGACATGTGCTGTCCTTTGCATTTTCTAATATTCTATACATAGACTCCAGAACATTTTAGATGTAATTATTACAGTTTTTATTCCTCTAATACATCCTAGTGTATATGACAGCTCCTGTTTTAAAAACTAATCACAGAGCATTGTTGTTTCTCAAGCTGTTCAGGACCATATAGAATAATTTGTCCCATCTTCATCAGCTTTATTGGCTTTATGGCTCTTTATGTAAATGTTGATGCTAACTATTTCAGAGTACTTCTCCTTTAGCTGTCAGCTGCGGTATCATAGTTTCTGTAATTTCTCAGTGTGTTTGATTTCCAAAAATACCCCCCCCCCCCCCCCCCCCCAAAAAAAACCCCAAACAAACAAAAAACAAAAAAATAAATTAAAGGTACAAAAGCACACTAATAATAACGATTATTACTAATAATTACCTCTTGGTTTTTTTGCATTTAATAGAAGTCAGTGACAGTGTCATTGTGAGTCTACTGGAGATTTCTTTTTAAATTCCAAAGTGTGGGTCCCAATCAGTTGCATAGAGTATTAGTGAGCTGTATTAAAATGGAAGGGATCGTTGTCGTATACTTTTGTCAGGCGCCCTGACCATCCCAGCCTTACCCCAACACCTATAATGAGTTCTGTAGTGATCTATGTAAATACAGCTTTCATAAATCAACTACAAATTCATAGTTTTGAACTTCATTAAACTCAAACTTCATCACTTCATCCTTACATCTGTGGAGTTGGACAATTTTTTTAAAAAGTGTGCATAATCCTGTTTAATATACACAATCGTATTTATACTGGTGGTACGCACCATTAACACTGGCTAACACTTCAAGATGAAAACTAACACTTTAGATTTGATTTAATCAAATACGACATCCCATTCTGTTTTGTTATAAAAACTAAAGCTGAAAAAATCACTTTTTTGAAAACTGTTCATTAGGTAATGAGTACATTTTTTAACTATAGGGTTGGATACTCTTAGGTACTCAAAAAGAGTATGTGAATTTGTGAATCTTTGGAAAATTATTAATTACATGTTTACATATTTAAAAAATTTTTTTTTTTTAAACATGTATTTTTTTCTGTATTTCAGTGTCAATTTATATTTGCGAAAACACAATTTTCCTTTTATGCTCCCAACATTAAACGGCTATCAAACCCTCAAACAGTCCATATATGTGTCCAAGGTCCACGTAGGTGGGAAGCTTGCTGCCATGCAACCTACTAAGAGCTTCTTCTAACTGAGATCGGCACTCGATTTATAATCAAGCTGCGCATTTAAAGATAAAGTTTGCGACTTACATTGATGATGATCTTGATATAGTTCCAAGAAGACTACAGCTCTGTGTGAATACTATAATCACGTATTCAGTATGCTGCAGGTGAAGAGATGTGAATGATGCTGGGAGATTTGACAGTAATCTAAATCAACGGCACACTCGTCTTTCTGACTCATTCTTACTTCTCCATTTAGGCTATATTAAGAAAAGGAAGTGGTTTTGGTGCTCTGTTCTGTGTTGCTGTTGATCACGCAGACATCTGTTGGGTGACATACTATAAAAAGAGGGAGGCGTAAATAATCAGTAAAACCCATTGTTGTCCTACCTAGGACTGCATAATCATCAATACAATTTGCAAAGCAGCGACACCAGTCGAGCTGCAAACTGTGCTATTTTTTTACACAATTATTTTGAGCAATTCTATTGTTCTTAAGGCCTTTCACAGAAACTGACGTGCCAGAGATTCATTTTTTTTTAAAACCTAAAGCAATAATAATCATGCCTATATCTGTCGTCTTCAATTTCACCTACATATTTTTGTCTGAGCTCTCTCCGACCGCTCACAGAGCACTTTTAATTATAGGCATTGGTAAATGTCATACAACAAACAGCATACAACCTTTCTGACACTTGGTTACCACACACCACATGCAGCGGAAAAGGACAACAGAACAAGCACTTATAGATGACATAAAACATTTATGAAAAACATTATTCCGCATCAGTTCACCAACAGAAAAAAAGAAAAAAAGAAAAAAAAAGAAATTTGCATTAAAAATCGAGTTATTTTATCAACTTCCCCTTTTATTTTCCTCTCTTACTGTATGCTGAGTTTCCCATGTGATTTCTGGCTATTTAGGCAGTCTGCACCTGCACTCATAACTTTCAGCTTTAGAGGGGAATGTTTAATTTGGTAAGATGTTGCAGATAAACTGGATGTTTTCTGCAGGCGGTGAAGTAGACACAGAAAAGTTTGGACCCCCTGCTGCTTAACCTGCTGTGCTGCAGACAATTTAATTATCACGAGCATGAAAACAACACCAGACAGTAAAAACTGGTAATTAAAAAAATGACAAAAGCAAAATTAAAGGTATTAAAGGCAACATCACAACCTGTCATGCTGCTATAATCTACCATCTATAGTCCTTTATTTGCTTGGTCCTCAGACTGGCGGTGGCCAAATATTCTGACAAAGAGTATTAATTCTCTTTGAGCCCTAAAAGCTGACTTAATCTAATAAACATGAGAAGGATGATAAGGCTAAATATGTATGAGGGGAACTGAGAACAAAAGGAAAGAGGATGACTTCATCTCAAAACCCCCTCACCTTTCACTGAATGACGGAAAGTCCCCATTTGTTAGTAAGATCATGGTGTGTTTGTTGTAGATGTTTTGCGTGCGTCCAGCTGCCCCACTTTCTTTCCCCTTTTTTTTTCTCTTTCAGTACCTTCACTTCTATAAATAACCAGCTTGCTGGCTGTGTTGGTGGACAGCTTCATTAAGGAGAGTCCCAAGGTCATCAATTGATGGTTGACAGTTGTAGTGGTGCACTCAGCAAATGTTAGAATGACCACGAGAAAGCTCTCTCACTATCTCTGTTGTGTTCTCACCTTACCCTCTGTTTCAAAACCAAATTGTGGCTATGTGTGTGTGAAGGCTTTTTGTGTGATTTCTGGGTTTGATTTGAACATGCCTGGCATAACACATACCACTGGTTGCACATGTAATGCTGGTACATTTTCAGCTTGCTAATTTGGTAACAAAATCAAACAAATGACTAATTGTCATTCTGTAGCTGACCTTGCAGTAATGGAAACAGTTTTCCCTCACTAAACGCTGGTCATGTGACCCAGTACCAGTTGGAGTCAAAGAGCTTTTTAGCTGCAGTAGAATATACAAGGTCCTCTCTTTGCCATTGATGCCAGTATACAGAAATCAATTCACCATTCTTCTTTTTTCTTCAGATAAAACATTTCAAAGACCAAACGCAAGCACAAGTGCTCATTATCAAGGCACCTTCCGAGGCTTCGTAAACTTGACTGAAGGTCACAGAAAAGCTTCCTAACCAAAATAGGGAAACTGGAATTGCTTCCTTTTATTTATATACCTCCAGCTACAACCATTCAAGCTCTTGTGTTTACCGACTCATAGTGAGCCTTTCGATTATTGTCACTGTTTCAGAGTGAGACCAAATGCAAAACCTGGCCACCCTCTCTCATCTGCTACCAAGGTATGAAATTGAAAACTAATAAATGAGTGTTTGCAGAATATTATGATCACACAATGAAGTTAACCTTTGAGCTTATGTGCTCATTAATGTCACTGCCCCACATTTTTTAAACCTATTAGACATTTGTATGAAATGAATTCTCAACTCGTAGCCAAAAATTTGTCTTTTTGAGGTTAAAAGTAGCACCATCTTTGGTAAATTCTAAGCAGTTTATTCTTAACATGTCAAATTTGTACAAACTGAGGAAGTTAGCTTAAAATTTAAGACACACTGTTTACATGTTTCCCATCAAGTTACTACATATTTGAAAAAAGTTAATGTAAAATGTGCAAAACCATTAAAAAAGAAGCAGTGCCTCATCATGTCTTTACCATAAAAGGAAAGATGGCAAAGACTTTCTTTTGGGTCGTTATGCCACCTAGAGGAAAAATGGGATTGTGCTCAGCCTGCTCTTGGCTTGCATCTATAATGTTCACCTATAATAACCATGGAAGTTTATTTTTGATTAGATAATATCTATAATTTATTATAGGTTTGGATTTGTTTTCTCTGTTTTGGACATTAATTTTATGACTGCCACTCGACGCTCTCCTAGCTAACTCAGAGAAATTAAAACACAAAAAAGAAAACTGGAACAGTAATGTTGTCTCAAACAAAGAATGGAAAAAATATTTCAATATTTCTTTAAAAAATAAACTGGTCCAGTCAGGAAAACGGGGACAGAGAGAGGGGAAGACATGCAGCAACAAAGAGTCGTGGGTAGCACTCGAACTCAAGCCTACTGCTCTCCGGCCACCAGGCATATGTTTGCCTGCTCACTCACTGAGCTAAACCAGCTTCCCAAAGTGTTTATGGAGTGTTGTAATAAAGGAGAGATGTTCAAAAGTATACACATAAAATATGCATAAAAGTCCAAGTATGCATACATTTTTAAACTACAGCAGTTCAAAGTTATCAGCATTTTATTAGTTTGTATTTGTACTATATCCAAATTATTTTTATTTGCATTTTTATACTGAAACCCAAATAATTTAGATACTAAGACTGTACTTTATAATGCTTGCAGCTTGTGTTAAAAGATTTCAAACATTGACATAAACAAATCACATTTAAAATTGAAACTTGCTTTGATTTAGCATATTCATGTAATTTAAACTGAATGTGCTGAAGCTTGGAAAGTGCAAGAAGAAGAAGAAGAAGAAGAAGAAGAAGAAGAAGAAGAAGAAGAAGAAGAAGAAGAAGAAGAAGAAGAAGAAGAAGAAGAAGAAGAACTCTAGATCATATGTTTTATCTTTCTACAGTTTTCTATCTCTTTCACATTTCTACTGAAAGTAGCATGTTTGTTGGTGCCAGATGGGCTGATCTGAGTATTTCAGAACCTGCTGATCTACTGGGAATTTCCCCACACAACAGTCTCCAGGGTTTACAGAGAATGGGCCAATGAAGAGAAAACATCCAGCAAGCTGCAGTTCTCTGGCCAAAAATGTGCAGTGGTGTTTCTACAGTCTGTTGGGGCCAAAGATAAAAATTCAGTGGTGGTCCTTCCAACCAGCACTGATCACCACGTTACAAAAAAAAAATCTGACATCACAAAAACAAATGAACAAACAGAAACATGGCGACTTAATGCACAGCTAGCCAAGTTAATGCCAAATGTCAAACAAAAGAATGAATTTAATGGTAGCAGAAGTTACGTTATTCAGGCTTCTTTCTCGCACAGTTAAGGTTAAACTAGCAGTGTTTAGTAAGTTAATATTATATTTAATCCACTCACCCCGGTCTTGCTTTCCCCCCTCCTTATTGTCGTTGCTGCGATTCCAAATCTGCCAGCCCTCTGGGACCAAGCAATTGGCTGCCTTCTGAATATGTGATTAACAACATGAAAGCATCCATCTCACCTTGTATCAACTGTTCATGATGCTGGTGATGGTGTAACGATGTGGAGAATGTTTTCCTGGCACTCTCTGGTTTCCATGTGAGCATGATTTAAACACCACAGCCTTCCTGAGTATTGTTCCTGAGCATGTCCACCCCTTAATGAGCACCATGTCACAAAGCTTAAATCATTTCAAACTAGTTTCTTAAACAAAGTGATTTCATTTTGACCAGATGGCCTCCACATTCATCAGACGTCAGTGCAACAGCGCACCTTTGGGATGTGGTCAGTTGATGCCATCGTGTTGATATGATGCATAGTGTCCAGTTATTTTGAATACCTGTGCTGGAAAACACATTTTACCAACTTACCATCAGCTGCAAAATAGCCGTATCAGCTGTATTTACATGACAAGCCTCACTTTATTGTTTTCCATGGATGAAAACACAAACTGCGTGTACAGAATGGTAATCACATGCAATACAAAAATATGAATTTTTACAACAACATAAAAAAAAGAAAACAAAAACACGGATTGGCCAATACTTAAAAAACAAAACAAAACATTGTACAGCTTTTGTACAGCATTCTGTACATGAAAAAAATATAAATATATATACACATCTGTAATAGCCAGAGCAGTACCAGTTCAAAAATGTTGTCATGTGTTTTACATATAAAATGTTTGTAGAAATATTAGAAGAATTGTCTTAATTTGCTGTACATTAAATAATGTATATACAGTACACTACATACCATTGGATTTGCAACACAACATTTACTGTAGTCTTTCACAAATACCACCCCCCCCCAAAAAAAAAAAAAAAAAAAAAAAAATCAAACAGAACAAAAACAACCCTACATGTTCCAACACAGTACACTCACTCAGTCAACACACAACCACAAGCACACCAGCTGAAGCCAGCAATCACAAACAGTATACACAAGCACGCACAAGAGGTACTGTTTAAGGAAGGTATAGGACACTTTTTGCACCAGATTCCTGATTTCTCCTTCCCTCTTTTCTTTCTTTCTTTTTTTTGTTGCACAGAAAATGCGATCACTCAGCTCCTCGAAGCAACTTCCTTTTAAGGTGCACTTCACACTTCAGCAGATGAGCATTGCTAAGAAAAAGTCTGCAGAAAGAAATAGACTGTAGTTTTCTATTTTCGTGTAGATAGTCTTTGTTTTCTGTTTGCATTTTTTGTCTTCCACTTCAGCTCGTTTAGCATACGCAAGTCTTTATCAGTGCCCCCTTTTGGAACGCATCAAATAAACAGTGAATTCACCAGACCAAAAATGACAAATAAGCTAACACAAGGGAAAAATAAACACTGCAAAAGAAACCATACGCAAAACAAAAGAAGCAAAAAAAGAAGAGTCTATGATTTTTTTTTTCCATTTTGACAAAGTGCATATTGGATTTATACTTCTCAGGACATGCCATCCTACAATCCTTAAAAAAATAAAAATAATAATAATAAAAAAAAAACTGAGAAGGAGGAGGCAGGTGGTTTAAGATCATCACTCAAGCAGCATGTCAAAGTTGTGTCAAACACCCTCCACCACCACCACCCAGGGAGTGAAGAGATAAATGAAGCAGGGTGTTTGGTATTAAGGTCCATTTTTTGTCCAGCAGTGTGTATTTGCGTGCGTGCGTGTTTGTGTTTTAGATAGAAAGAGAGCCATGTGGTCAGGACCACCCCAGGCAAGAACAACCACATCACAGCAGCACAGAGAAGTTGAGCAGGGCCGAGGATAGGGCAGCCATCAGCAGGCACAGACCACAGCACACCAGTCAGTCTCAGCACAGACACCACAAGCCAGTTAGTCAGAAGCCTCAGAGTCTCGACTGACATTACAGGAGAAGACCAGAAGGAAGTCAAAGAGCTAATTTTTTTTGTTTGTTTTGTTTTTAGAGGAATGAAGGGATTTAGGGTGATGGGCGACAACGGTTGTCCGTCACACCTCAGTCCAACGATCCTCTCTTCCGAACAAGGAAATAACATGGAAGATCGGACTGTGGATTAGTGGAAGTGGCGCCTGTTTCAGACAGAGGCAATGCTTTGATCAATCCTGTAAGAGTTAAGGATTCAGGAGCATGCAAGGCAGACCCAGGCTTTGTTTTGCATTGCTTTTGTTTCAGAGTGACGGCTACAACCTAGATTAGACAAGAGAAAAAGAAAAAGACAAAAAAGCAAAAGAAAACAGACATTAGACGGTTAGTGAAAAGTTAACAGACTTACATTGGAGAATGCAAGATATCGCACGCACTGATTAGTTAGAGGACATCCATGAGATTTAAAAGGTTTAAAGCATGTTTAATGTGATTTAGAAGTCATTTGAAAGTCAGCTGTGCAAAGCTACCATTTAAGAAACAAGAGTGAAGCCCAGTGACTGCTGGCAGCAGTCTTGAAGCAAATGTAAGAAAAGTGTGTGAAAAAGCAAACCATACAGTATTGTGCAAAAGTCTTCACCCACATATAAGCAAAATGTGGGTGTTTTCATTCATACATACATACATACATACACACACACACACACACACACACACACACACACACACACACACACACACACACACATACATAGAACCGTTTGATACGGTGCTTTCGGTTCGGTACGCATATGTATCGAACAATACAAATTTTTACATTTATTTTATCAACTTTCCTTCTGACGATGCTGTCTGTGTTGAGCGCTCAGTGGATCTGTGCTCGACAGTGCAGCCTAGGCGGAGTAGTCGAACGCAGATTCAGAGAAATGGCTCTTTCCAAAATAAAAGCTATACTATACGCTTCTTCTGGTGTATACTCTCAGCAGCATATTAAACATATCAGGTCCCCATAAGGAGAATCATGTGCTAACGGCTGTCTAAATGACTCGGGTAAAGTTTGTAGCATGCGTGCTGTTGTTTTTGTCTGCTTCCACTTTGCACTAGGATGATGTCGGAGTAAATGTGCTGTCATTCGTTGTGTTCCCACTAGTGCTGTCAGCGTTAATCTCGTTGAAATGACGTTAACGCCACAACACGGCAAATCTCCGTTAACGAGCTACTGCGGATCGCCCCGTGCGTGCGGCTGGACGGCGTCAACACGTTAACAAGCTAACTGCGCTAACGCACTAGTTCCCTCTAATGTAATTGAGCATTGCGTGGCACATCCGACATAGTGTTTTACTTTTGTCCATGACGCGCTTACCTTCAGGGTTATACTTCACATGAAGACCAAAATAGTTCCAAACGCCAGATCTGAATTAGGGTGGGGGAGGTTCAATTTGCCATGTTGCAACTAGCTTTGCTTCTGTCTCGCTAGCTTGCCCTGCGATCAGTGGATCTGCGCTTGACAGTGCAGCCTAGGCAGAGTAGTCGAACGCAGAACCACTGAGCGCTCAACACAGACAGCATTGTCAGAAGAAAAGTTGATAAAATAAATTAAAAATTTTGTATTGTTCGATACATATGCATACCGAACCGAAAGCACTGTATTGAATGGTTCAATATCGATACGAGTATCGTTGCACCCCTAATATATATATGAAAACAGGGCGTTGTTGGAATGCTACTACGCAAGTAACCCTGGCGGAAGGGGTTACATGAATAGGATGAGGGACCTATGGATTCTTCGATACCCAACATCCACAATGACGGTGAAACAACTAGTAGCTCAGTGTTCCAACATTCGAAAGAAGGGACTGCTCTCACAGCTAGAGACTGACGAGTTGCAACACAAATGCTACAGCAAGGGGGAGCCAGGACGACAGGTTAGGGGGGAGATATCATCACCCCCACCTGAGATTGGGTACCAAGCCCCAAGTGCGATAGGAGAAGGATCGTTGAGTGCAAGAGGAACTGACCTGAAAGATAGGATCATGGCCAAGCTTGAAACCTGGACCTCCCGTAGCCGGTTACCAAGATTACGTGAAGTACCCTCAGAAGGTCTCCTAGATGATGTTAATGCAGCACTACGGATGATACCTACAGCCACGATTACCGACACTAACAAGCTGATCTACAATATGGCAGCAGTGATCAGTGAGATGTTTGGCTACAAGTTGAACAGCCACAAGGGGCAGTACCCTCCATGGAGAAGAAGGCTAGAGGCTAAGATCAAGGCAGCACGGAGGGAGGTTAGCCAACTATCGGAGTTGCAGAAAGGCGCGATGAGGAAGGTGCCTAAGAAGTACAGGAAGCTGTCCATACCTGAGGCCTTGGAAACTGCCAAGCAACGGCTCACAGCCTTGGCCAGCCGCTTGAGGAGGTACACCAGAGAGATAGAAGGCAAGAGAATAAACCAGCTGTTCTCCACGGAACCAGCCAAGGTGTACTCTCAGTGGCAGGGGAACAATATGAGAACAGGCTGGAGGCAGAACAATACTGGAAGAGCATATGGGAGAAGGACGCAACCTATAACGGCAATGCTCAGTGGCTAGTGGATCTGAGGGCAGACCACAGCGACCTCCCCAAACAGGGTCCATAAACCATCACAGTGGCAGATATCCAAGAAACGGTCTCCAGTATGAAGAGTTGGACAGCACCAGGCCCTGACATGGTTCACTCCTACTGGCTGAAGAAGCTGACTGCACTCCACGAGAGCCTGGGAGCACAAATGAACCAGCTGCTAGTTCACGAGAGACACCTGGAATGGCTAAGCGAAGGCCGGACGGTCCTGATCCTAAAGGACCCCCAGAAGGGACCGGTCCCCACCAACTACCGACCAATAACCTGCCTCAGCACCACGTGGAAGCTCCTGTCAGGCATCATAGCGGCTAAGATGAACAGGCACATGGGTCAACACATGAGCGGGGCACAGAAAGGGATGGGCAAGAATACCAGAGGCGCAAAACACCAGCTACTGGCAGACCAAGCAGTCAGCCGAGACTGCAGGACCAGACTGACCAACCTGTGCGCTGCCTGGATTGATTACAAGAAGGCCTATGACTCAATGCCCCACAACTGGATCCTGGAATGCCTAGAACTATATAAGATCAACAGGACCCTGGGAGCATTCATCAGGGGATGTGGCGGACAACACTGGAGGCCAACCTCAAGCCTATAGCACAAGTCACCATCAAGTGCGGGATCTACCAAGGAGATGCTCTGTCCCCACTGCTGTTCTGCATAGGCCTGAACCCCTTGCAGAGGGTCAGGCAAGTCCTGAGGAGTCAGCTGAACGGTAAGAACAAGATCCGGGCTATCAACACCTATGCCCTGCCCGTGATCAGGTACCCTGCTGGGGTAATAGGCTGGCCAAATGAGGAGATAGAAGCCACTGACATCAAGACAAGAAAGCTCCTTACCATGCATGGAGGGTTTCACCCCAAGTCCAGCACCCTGAGTCTGTACGCTAAGCGGAAGGAAGGGGGCCGGGGACTGGCGAGTGTCAGCACCACAATCCAGGATGAGACAAGGAACATCCACGAATACATCACGAAGATGGCCCCAACTGACAGTGTGCTCAGTGAATACCTCAGGCAGCAGAAACCCAAGAAAGTGGAGAAAGGCGAGGAACCATCATGGAAGGACAGGCCCCTGCACGGTATGTACCACCGGCAGATAGAGAAGGTGGCCGATATCCAGAAATCCTACCAGTGGCTGGACAAAGCTGGACTGAAAGACAGCACGGAAGCACTAATCATGGCAGCACAGGAACAAGCACTAAGCACAAGATCCATTGAGGCTGGAGTCTATCACACCAGGCAAGACCCCAGGTGCAGGCTGTGTAAAGATGCTCCAGAGACAATCCAGCACATAACAGCAGGGTGCAAGATGCTAGCAGGCAAGGCATACATGGAACACCATAACCAAGTGGCCGGCATAGTGTACAGGAACATCTGTGCCGAGTATAATCTGGAAGTCCCGAGGTCAAAATGGCAGATGCCCCCAAGGGTAATGGAGAATGACCAAGCTAAGAGCCTGTGGGACTTCCAGATACAGACGGACAAAATGGTGGTGGCTAACCAACCGGACATAGTGGTGGTAGACAAACATGAGAAGACGGCCGTAGTGATCGATGTAGCGGTTCCGAATGACAGCAACATCAGGAAGAAGGAACACGGGCTCAGAGAAGAGCTCGAGAAGATGTGGAGGGTGAAGGTGACGGTGGTCCCAGTGGTAATCGGAGCACTAGGTGCAGTGACTCCCAAGCTAGGCGAGTGGCTCTGGAATATTTGGTATAACTATTCCTGAAGTAGTCTTCAGGCTTCATGAAGGACATTTGGAGCACTTCTTTGGATGCTGGCTGCTTTTTGTTCTGTATTCTATCAAGGTGATCACACACTGCTTCAATAATGACTTAATATTATTATAATGACCACTTATTCTTTTGTCCTCTACTTGCCTAATTACTCAAAATTTTTAATGGACACACTGCACACCATGCTGAGATATGTAAAGTTTTTAGTGACGATCTTTGGGAATCACCTTGTTGGTGCAAAAATACAATTTTATGTCTGTCAAACTCATAAACGCTCATCTGTATTTTTTTGCTTTCTTTCAATCTTCAACTAAAGAAATGGTAAGAGATTTTAGATTTTTGCAACAGGCTGCTAAGCAAAGTGCCTAAAGCCACATTTTAAAATTGGTTCCTTACTTTCTTCTGAAAATGATCAGTTTCATACACGGGACTAATGAGTGAAAATTAAAGGAAAACTCTGAAAGACCTTCAAAAAGCCAGGAAAACTATTATGACTCCTTGAAAGCAAAATATAAAGAAGTGAGGAGTGGCTGAACACTTCTGGACAATACTGCATAAAATATAGGAAACAGTGGAGACGTGAGGCTATAACAAAGTTAATGCTAGTGCCAGGAAAAGAGGCATATGTGGTTGCATGAAGTAGTTAAGGTGGTCTATGTAAGAATGAAAAGACTAAAGCAAAGAGTCGATTAGATGTTTTACGTCCAAATATCTACATGCATTCAGCTGAGTTTTAATTTGATATCTATGCATTACCCAGTTACACTCTAGCTATAGTCTGTTGGTCACAAATGTAACAAAGTTCTGTATGACAGACTTATTTTTGCCAAAAATGTCTCATTTCAATAAACAGTGCTGTGCAAGGAATTCAAGTTCAGAAGTCATGTTTCCAGCTATAAATTACAAATTTCACATTTCATCTGAGCCCAGTACTAAGGCTGAACCCAGCTCTGATCTGATATTCTACTCTCAATAAACAAATAAGAAAAAGGAAAGAAAGGTTTTTGTGTTCACAGGTCCAGTGTCTTCACACCATCCTTCATTTCTGGGATACCTACTCTGCAGACTTCCAGAAATGTCCAGGGTGGGACAGTCTGCGGTTGAGTTTGGGTAGCTTCTCCAGCATGTCAGCCAGCTGCGTAAAGGTCGGCCTTTCTCTCAAGTCGTACGCCCAGCAGGCAGAAAGGATTTCCTGAAACAAGAAACCACTTCGTTTCAATGTGACTGGCAAACCATTGACCCGCACTCACCGCACTGTGAACTACAATCGATTGACCTAAAAACTACTGCAACATCTTGATATCGTTGCATCAGCATGGGTATTTTCCACTCTTACACAAGCAGAACAAACATCTACATTTCTGAATGACTGACACACTCATGGTCCAACTCACAGTGACCTCCTTTCCCAGGCTGATTTCTGCCAAAATCTTCTTTATGCCCTCTCCGCTCCCCACCTGCCAGATGGTAGCTTCCACAGGCTGGTTAGTGATTGGCCAGTCCCTAGCTTGAAGCTCATACCAAATTGTGCTTGAAGTGGGGAAAAGGAAGAGCATTTTGTTTGAAATTCAAATGGTGGACTTCCTTTTTAGTCAGTGAAAGTTATGACAGAACTCAACCAGATGTGCATGAAGAACTTACCCAAAGGCGTACACATCTGCTGCGGTGGAAAAAGGAAGGCGGTCCTCATTGTTACCTGGGCTCATTCTGCGCACAATCTCTGGTGCGAGATAACAAATCCAGCCATGTGGAAGTTTGAGTTTATTTTCACGCCTGGAAAAACAAAAACAAAAATGCAGTTTTCAGTAACACTTTAAATGGAGGGGAAAAGATGTATTAAGAGGACAAAATGCATTCACTAAATAAAGTCCCTTACTCCTGTTAGCTACTAATGAACCATACACAAAAGGAGGCAAAAAATTAGTAAGATGTGCGCTCAAAATGTGCTTCAGAAATCAAGAGTGTCCAGATAATGATTGAAATTTTACAATCAGGAGAGTTCCCTCTTTTTACTGGCTGACAAGGGAGATGCCTACAGAAGTAGCACTGCAGACCTCAGCTTATCACAGATCAGTGGGCGTCCCCGGGTAATAGAGTGGTTTTAGCACTGCTTTAGTTAAGGTCATAGTTTTAAGGTCTCTTTGGGGTGTGGAGCGGTGGACATGTTTCTTACCTTCCCTCCTGAACAACTCCAGAGATCCCAAACAGGCCAAAGTCTGCGATCACAACCTTATTGGTGTCATGAAAAACGTTCTTTGACTTCAAGTCTTTGTGAACAATGCCTTTGGCATGCAGATAGCCCATTCCCTGTCCAGGCCAACGGTGTTCAGACAAAGGAAAACACAGTAATAGAAAATTATATCTTTGACTACACAGTTCTGCTATGTTTAGTACGTAACATGATTTTTCCCCCCTAAGATGTCACGTTTCTCACAAATTAACACACAAAAAAGAAACAAATACCTTTACAATCTCCTGAGCAATTTGTCTTGTCTTGTTAATATCCAGAGTGTTTTTAGTGTCTCGAACTACTGAGTAGAGTGTCCTCCCTTTACAAAAACTGCAGGAGTTAGAGGAAAATCATTCTATTAAAGCAAACACATGCATCCGGTTTAGAATCGTTTTTGAGGTAACCTGTGATATTTTTGTTCTCACCTGGTGATAATGGCCAGGTGGGGTGGAGCCATGCAGGCTCCCATAAAGAGGACCACATTCTCATGCCTGGTCTGTCTGTAGTTCATCACCTCCTTTTTAAAGAGCTTCAGGTGGTCCTGATTGTTCCCATCGATCTCAAGAAGCCGGATGGCCACCTCGCCGTGCCACCGGCCCTTGTGCACTTTTCCCCAGCGGCCCTGGATAAACAAAACACAAACTGTCTGATTTTTTATTTTTTTCGAGTATGCAACACACTAGGAATTCGTTGGGTAGATTCCTCACCTTTCCTATGAGCTCCCCAAGGTCCAGCTGCTCAAAGGGGATGTCCCACTCTTGCAGGTAAACGCTGGTCTGACTGGCCTTGCGGGAGATGGGGCCCTTCCACTGGTTTCCCCGAGAGTTGGGCAGATCATCCAGCTCGTCGCACTCGCCGTCGGAGCCCATGTGCATCCTGATCTCCCCTCTGTCGTCCTCATCTTCTCCTCCATCCACATTGTCCTCATCATCCTCCTCATCGTCGTCCTCCTCCCCTTCGTGATCTTCATCTTCGACCTCCTCATCCCCTTCCTGCAATAGTGTGGCGATGGTTTTTGTAAAAGTTGATTTAAAAAAAAAAATCTACCAAATATAAATTTAAAACTGCCGATGAACATTTTGTAAGCCAGTGTTGCCACCTGAGCAGGTTCTAATCAACAGATGTCACAGGGACTTTTAGTCACATTTGGATGTTTTAATTAAATCTCAATCTTCAGTCACCTGAGCTAATTTCATACCCCAGTTGACAATTGTCCAACCTTTTAGGAAATCAAAGTATGAGTGTCTAAAAACTGAAAACAAAATTAAACAAAACCAATTTCTGAAGGTGTGACACTGAACAGCTTCACTGTACAGACTAATAAGCAAAGAGCCAGGAAACAGTACAACAAAAGAATATTTGTAGACTGCATCTCCAGCATTACCTCTTCATCGTCATCTTCTACCAGCTCATCATGTACGTCGTCTGATGATTGCTCTATCTCACTGCTGTGACACAGAACACTGATATCAGAGGGGTTCAAAGCAAGACAAAATAAATAAATAAAAGGCTGTTTCCGAAAGAGTGACACTGCACAAAATGCAAGTTATGCCAGAGTACAATGATCTGCAGATAGTTTAAGCTCTATATTTCATTTTAAATAGTACAAAGACATCATGACAAATGGTGAAGGTGAGATTCCGATAAAAGCACCAAATGTTTTCCGTGGATGACAGATCTATACTGCAGGCAGGCCAGTTTTAATGATTTCTTTGAACTGTTCTGTTTCCAGAGTGGAATGATTGTACAGCATACTTCTTTAAAGCCTTTAAAAAAAACAAGAATTGGGTGCATAAGTTTGAATTTACTTTGGATCATCTTTAATTGAAGTGTCATTGACAAACTTTGAAGTTTCAAAGCAAAATAAAGTTTCTCACGTTCAACATTTTACATTTATTTAAAGGTTTTGCTGTGTTATTCAATTAAACATGTGGTTTACATAATTTGCAGATCATCACATTCTGCTGTTATTTACATTTTAGAGCATTCTGCCATTTTTAAGAAACAGGGTTGTAAATAACCAAAACCACTGTGTAGTCACTAAAACTTGGATTAAAGCTTGAGACAAAAAAGTCTTACACTCTGTCCTGAAGAACATCTGAGTGGAAATTTGCAGGACTGGAAACATCTGCAAGGAAAATGACACCAGTTAGGGATGACCAATGGGAGCAAAAGTTACAGAGCCAGCACCACACATGAACATGACTGCTCATGCAATTTCCTACTACTTCCAGCAGATGGCATCAGAATGCTGCCACACAGTCAAACACAGCTAATCTAACTACTATAACCCTTAAAAGCAAACATGCAGGAGACAGAAAACTGTAAAGAAGCCATGGTGTGGAGGGAGAGGGGGATGAAGGGATCTTAACAATGTAGTATTACACTTTTGGACCATCAACTCACCTGGGAAGATAAATTGCTGTCTATGCTGAAAGTAACAGGCAGCTTTTTCAAAGAAAAAGAGAATTGGAAGAGTGATAAGCAAGGCAAGGGACACAAGGGTTTTTGGTTAGAGAAGCTTTGAATTAAGAGATCTTCTTAAAAACTCCTTTTAGTGTTAATATTGTGTATTTGGGGAAAAAGGATAAGTAGTTGTGGGAGCGCCACACTCCTGAACCGGAAAAGATTCATCGTCAAATGCATTGAGGAAAAATCAGAACAATGTCAGCATGCATGTTTCAGTATATACTCTACATGTGTATCTGTGCATCTGTGTTTGTGATTCTGTACCCAAGCTTACCCGGGAAATTAAATCGGCTGTCTCGATGACCTTTGGGTGAAGGGTTGGGCGGTGGTGTGGCACTGGGGGGGTTGCTCTGCTGGAAGGGTGCTGGGGAGGAAGGTGTGGATGAAGTGGTGGAGGATGGGTTGCTGCTGGAGTCCAGCTGGTTCAGTACTGGTGGATGATCCTGCTGGGACCGGGATGGAAGGTTACAACACTAAGCATGATTGCTATTTATTAGCCATGTTGCATTGCCTTCAAGATTCCTTCAACAAGCTCTATGCTTTATTTTCCTGTCAGTGCACACTTTAATAGTCAGGTGTGATTTCAGATACATTATCTTTACAATGGTTAGCATGGACAGATGATGGAGATAATGGAGGTATATGTATTGGCATAATAGTTCAAGGTAATTAAAAAGGGACTACACACACGGCAGTTCTCTGAAAGTTCTTTTAATTTACCTTTTTCGTAATAGCCTTTGGTAGTGTGCCAAACTGCGGTGCTTCCTGCGGCCGGTCCACTGGGTTGTTTATATCAGAGGGAACTGACTCGGTCCTCCGAATTTTGGCAACTGTGGGAGAAAACCAATCATGTCACAAACAGGCATGAATGCCAAATAGATTTAGCCCATCAGCTGCACAGCGTGGGATGAAAGAAAACTTACTTGGTAGAAAGGAGATTCTGCAGGATGGAGCTTCCTTTGTACATTTGTTGTGGCACTTTAATCTGCATTAGCAAAAAACAAAAACAAAAACATAGGCAGCATATGAGAGGCTTAGCGGTAATTCGTAATTAGCACCAACATGCCTTACACCCAGATCAAGATTTAGCCAAGACATCAGATTCCCACCTTCCTAAAATACATGTGCCTTCTAACGGACCTTTTTTTTCACCACTTTTTTGGGTTGTGTTTGTGACAGTAATTAACTCACCGACAGTGTTTGCACTTAACTCCAAACATCATGTTTTTCTGGCACACTTGACATGTCTGGGACAACCAGGATTTGGTGGAAAACCTAAAAAACAAAACATAAAAGCTTCTTACGGACCCGCTCTGTATTAGATCGCTGTAAAGTTTAATTTATAAATGGTCTGGACTTGTATAGCGCTTTACTAGTCCCAAAGGACCCCAAAGCGCTTTACACATCCAGTCATCCACCCATTCACACACTGGTGATGGCAAGCTACATTGTAGCCACAGCCACCCTGGAGCGCACTGACAGAGGCGAGGCTGCCAGACACTGGCGCCACCAGTAGGCAACAGGTGAAGTGTCTTGCCCAAGGACACAACGAACGAGACTGTCCAAGCCGAGGCTCGAACCGGCAACCTTCCGATTACAGGACGAACTCCCAACTCTTGAGCCATTATTGCATTAACAGCAAATCTATCTTTTCTAGGCATTGAAAGGTCTACCTGTGCGTGACTGCAAGCCCTATATCCCTCCTTATTGCTTGTGGGGAGCTGCGATGCACTGCTACATTATCTAGAAAGAGACAGAAAGAATGCAAATGATGAGTAATGATTACAAGGATGGCTGACTGAGGTGATGTTAAGTTAAAGCCTTTATTTACATTCAAGCACAAAAACACACACAAGATCATTATAGCAATGTTGCAGAACCAAAGACTTTTACATCGTGTCAGTAAAGTGGACCTATCATGTCTTTACTCCTGTTTTTCTGTGGATTCCAATTTTAATATTGCCAAAATTTCAAATAGTGATGTCAGTGCATCTGTAGTAGCAGTTCCTGTGAGCCAAAAGCTCAGATTTCAGACTGCATTTTTTACTGTTATATCTCATTTAGTGGTTGTGTTCTTAATGTGGTCATTTACAACACAGTCTTAAGCTTTGAGTACACCTGTTCTTTAGATCTGTTCAGACAAACAAAGTAAAGCTGTCTTTAAGAGAATGAACTGACAAGTTGCACCAAGGCCCCGTATACAAGAACTATTTTGATCTACGAAGCTGGAAATTAGCACAATAAGTCCACTTTAAGCAGGTATATTCAGCAAAATTAAAAGTGCATGCATGCAGCTGACTCACTCTTAATTGTGCTGTGCTCCTCCAGCAGTGTGGGAGTTCCAGGAAGGGTGTAAGGTGCTGTGTTGGCAGCTGGGGTGGCACCGGGTGTCCTTGCAGACACGGCGGAGTAGCGAGAAGGCGAATCCTCACATCCGTTACCGTTGACTTGCATGTTCAGGAACAACTTGTTCTTTTTAACACACCTGGAAACGCACAGAAAGAAGAGTGAATCAGCAGGTGCTGTATACTGAACTGCTTGCTTACTATACTGCACAGGACAAATTATGTAAGGGCCTGGGAGAGGCACGTTGGAGAACCTTAATTGCATTGGCACACGAAGGGCAGGGTGACATCCTTAACACCCAGAGTGAAGTCACAAGGAGTGAAGGGCTAAGCGGTGCCAGGTCTGTGGTTTATACGCACATGCACACAAACACGTGAGTAGCCACAAAAATTTGCAAAAAGACTATCAGTCTAGTACTGCGACTTGCGACCTCCTTACATAAAGTAACACTTTTGTAATATACTGCACAACATATGCAGAGTGAGAATAAACCTCCAAAAGCATATAGTGTCCTATGTTAGCCATTTTTTCCATTTTTTTTTTAAAATAAAGTTTTCCACAAACCGATATTATGGATAAACATGTGATTGCATTGTGCTTGGGCAGCCAGTCCTAGTACAGAGGTTAAAAAAACATTAGATATTAAGAGAGAGAGGGATAGAGAGAAACTGTGTGTTTCTTGCCACCTCTGAGCATTAGAACTAGGAAATACTTCCTGTTTTGACATGACTCATAATCTCTGGGAATCTGCGTGGGGATTAGCTCCACTCATACAGCGAGAGCAAAGGAGCAACAGGCAGTATGTGAACGGATGTGAAAGAGGAAGGGGAAGAGGGAGAGAGAGCGAATGAGGACATATCTAAGGAAAACTGCTTCTGTCCCGACAGCGCGCAAGGCGAAATTAAGAGTGAGACATCGGGCAGGACCGGGGCATTTTATCAAGTCCTTTATAAAATGTCAAACAACAAGTGCTCTTTCAGTTGATAGTAATAACAAACTGGAAAAAAAAAAAAAAACATCCCTTGTGAGACGGCTTGTCAGCTGGCCAACGCCGTTTGCTGGCCAGCACAAATCAGAATTTTGTCCTTTTCCTTTCTGTGAAGCAGCAGAAACTAAACACTTCCTGCAAAAACAAGCTGAGATTCAAATTTCAGTGAAATAAAAGATACCCCCCCCCCAAAAAAGCAAACAGAAAACCCCCAAAACACATACACACTCCCCACAACAGAAGCAATCTGTCACAATTACAGTGCCATCTGAGGATTCCCCACTTAGTTCCAGTCTGACCTACTTATAAAAAGCTGCAAATGAGGTGAATTCTTGAGCAGTTTCTTCAAACCACCCATTAACAGCTTAGCACCTACTTGTTGGTGGGAGGGTCCTCGATGCGGTTGCCCAGCTGGGACTCGTGGCTTTTGCTGCGCGTCAGTGTGATGTTGGGAAGCAGGTGCAGTACCTTGCGGGATGGCGGGGGAGGGGTGCAGGGAGGCTTCAACCGGTGACGCCTCTTTGAAGGAGGCGTTATAGGTGGGGTGGAAATGTGCCCATGGAGGCGGGCTGCGCGGGCGAAGGACATAGGGAATGGATCTGTGAGAGGGCTGTCGCTATGTGCGTCTGGCGTGGGCGCCGCTGACACAGAGCCTGAGCGAGGGTGGGGGAAGGTTGCGCAGGGAGTGGATGGGGTGGACTGGATGGTGGATGGGCGGGCTAGAGGCGAGGGGCTGTGTGTGCGGAGTGGGGTCCCCAGGTTGGTTAGCTGGTCCGCTGTCAGCAGAGAGCCGCTGTCCCTCCTGGTGGGCTCAGACAGCCAGAGACTGCTGTCATCTCTTAGTTCGCCTCCTGGAAGAGACATGAAACAGACCAAAAATAAATAAATAAAAAGACTAATAGAAAATCCGTGGGAAATATACTCTAGGAACATCAAAGTGTAAACCCATACCTGATTCAGTAGCACTCTTTAGACAAGAGAGGGCAGCACCGAGTCTGCCACATTCTTCTGAGCTGGACCCAAGTCTTCGCATCGTGTCTCTCACCTGAGCTCCTGTCATCTGCAGTAAGGTATCCAGCGACAGCTTTGCCTCCACAGCCTTCAGAGGAGCAAAACAAAAGCCCATGACAGGAGCTCTAATCTATTACAACGTGAAGCAGTATGTTAGTGACAAGCTTTGTACAACAAAAGAGAGCAAAATAGCCCAAAAGAACTATGCTTATATGGCATTCATAAAAAATATTTTTTGTTCCGAGTGTACCCTCAATCAGCCACAACAACACTGTTTGTAGTGAGGCTGAAACTGAGCGTTAAAAAGGGCAAAATGTTGCAGTGCTCAGCAGGTTATTCAACATCTGACTCGGGACAGTTCCTGGAAATCACTGTTAATCCTGTTTGTTTGGGGTATTCCAAACACTACTTTGTCTGCTTATCTGATTTTTCATTAGCTGCGTAGAGCAGAAGCTGAACACCAAGATCAAACCTGAGCTGGGGTTTGACAAAAAACATGGCTTAATATTTTCTGTCTATGTGAAACCTCTTATACAAGTGTAATGACTGTACAATGGTGAAGGTAACTTTGACAACAGTAAAACAGGAAGTAAACAGTGATGCAGTAAGATGCAGAGTTAATACACACACCACACTGTGAGAACTGGGAAGCACTAGTGGGCCGCAAAGTAAGAAAACAGAAGCACATGCTTTATAATCTTTTTCCCCAATGGCTGAACGGATAAAGACACAAATTCATATAGGCTTGGATCCTCTATGTGGACACAATTGTGAATTGTAAATAATATGAAGTATTGGGTGTCATAAATAAAGAAAAAAAAATCCAAATGGAGGATTAGCAGTGTGTTAAAGTTAACAGTGCTCACATTAGTTTTGATTGACATTAGCTGACCAGTATTTAATTAAGCATTAAGTCTGTATCTTTATTAATACTGAAAAGTTATCAGTTTTGAAATTAAAACAAAGAACGCTTAATCATGACTGCTTTACAAATTGAAATTAAACCCTAAATGTAATCCACTCAGCAGCTGCGATATTTCTAGCATTTGTTTCAGAGTGGAAATTATTGTAGCACTTTATAATAGGCAAATTGTAAATAGTTTGCGATACTTTTTTGACTGACTATTATATTGTATTACGCGTTATATCACAGCTGATACCAGACAATATCAGCATTGTCAACATTTACATTCTCATGACACTGGGGCATATAAAAATTTATGTAAATGATGAAGGCCTAGTCACTGGTCAATGTTCAGAGCAGCAAATACTGCGGTTTATACAGAGCCATGGGCCTCTCAGAGACGCACAACATGTCCTTTAGTGTTAGTCCACCGATGCACGTGTCACAGCCACAGTGACAACTCTTTAAAACAAGTATTATAAACATTTAGCTTTATAGATAAACCATGCAAATAGCTTTTTTAAATGCACTACGCTGTATCATTTACAAAGCTCTGGAGGCATCACGCTGAACTTTACAAAAAGCCACAAAGCATTTGTTAAACAAATAGTTGTTGTGTTATTTTAAATTCAAAAAAATACAAAAAAATAAAGTTGATAAAATTTCAAAATAAAGTCACATTGCACACGTTTAGCTTCACTTTTAGGTTAATGGTAACAAACCATTAAACACGGATTTATTAATTATGAAATTAATTTTGTTATACATCTACTCTGCTTTGCTTTCCCAATTCTACACATCTAAACCAGCGCCACATGTTTAACCCTTTCATGCATGAATTATGACAACCTCAATCATGATTTTTTTCTTAAGTATTTTTATTCGTCTTTACGCATGAAAAGATGAATAAAAATCCTTAAGAAAAAAATCCTGACAGAGGTTGTCATAATTCATGCATGAAAGGGTTAAATAACAATGATTACAATGAAACACGTCATACATCTATAGTAATTAAACGACCAGTGGGTGGCCGGTTATGGAGTGACACAGCAGTGTCCAATGTAGTGGTTTATGTGCTATTAAACCATCAACACTGACACAAATACAAGGAAACAGCCTCTGAATAGCTGTCCACTGTAGTGACCACTATGTATGAAAGGGTTAAGACTCGTCTCTGTGTGGCTTTCCTTTTTAGCCCGCTGTCTAGTTCCTCTCTAATGTTTTGGGTCATCTTGCTAACCACCCAGGCTGTCTTCCTTTTTTACTTCCCATTTTTGAAAATTTATTATTTCAGCAGACAGTAAAACTCAACAATAAGGCATCACAGGGTGTCGTAAACCAGACTGTTCCACTTTGGTTGATACTCAAACCCCATTTGGATGATTATTCCATTTCTTGACTATTGAAACTTTTTTTAATGCATTTATTTTATCTGAACTTGTAGCATTACAGTGAATCACCGAGGCTGCTCGCTCAAGTCAATCTCCTCAAATTTCAATAAAAACTGAAAAAAGTGGAGGCGTTCTTTATGACCTCCAGTGTACTACCAACTCCCACTTATTTAAGCATTTAGCACTGCAGTTTTCCTTTCATATTCCTCTGTTTCCAGCCTTTTATGTGCTTTAAAAAAAATGTAGTCTGCAAGATTGGAGATGTACAAACCTGGAAGGGCGGGGCTTTCTTTTTACAGCCGAGTTACTGAAGCGGCGAAATAAAACAACAGTGCAATCAACAACTGATGGATGACAGAAGGAAATAGGGCCAAATCCAGTGAGTTTAGGATGTTTCTTTTGACTGGGGAAGTACGCAATCACTTATCAGTCAGGTTAAACCCTTGCTCTCAGGGGCAAACACTGATCACAAAACTAGGGCAACCTCCCACACTAGTGTGTACACTAGAACCAAAACATAGCACACGCACACACTAAACCACACACATGTAAGGGGTGAGTGATGTGATATTTAAAGTTGCTGTCGGCCCTCTACTCTCATTCTATTTCCTCACTCAGAACATAGTTACAGCAAAGCCTGCATACGTGACCGTTTCACTGGGGCCTCCTATACATGCAGTATTATGTCGGCTCTGTTTTAATTACAGTTTTTTCTGATTGCTTAAGCACATTTTTTGTAACTATTGGCTAATTTTGCAAAACTCTTCACACAAATAAGAAAACCTGTCACCCAATAATCAAAACATTGTAGTTCTCTTGCAAAAGCAAACACAGCTAGATTAACTCTTCACACCTTCGTAAAAATGGTGTTTCCGTATCAAACAGTACACACAAGCCATCATCTACTAAGCACACAATGCGCCAACTGCACACTGATGGTATGAATATAAAACACATCTGGCTTTTGCTTTCTCTGTGCACAAGGTAGGCTATGTCAGTGTGAGCTCATACTTCTGTCATAGATCCATAAGCATAGAGGGATCCAAACTTCAAGTACTGGTGTTTATTCAAACACATCAAAACAAACAAGTGTTTATTTCCAAGTATAAGATTATTTGCAACCGCCATAATGACTATATGGGTTACTTGGTCTGCAGTGAACATGCTTCCTCTGCCCCAGCATCTGGTCATCTAGCAATTCTGTAAAGTAACAATTTCAGTATTTTTACATCAATGGTATTGGTGTGTTTCTCATTGGCATATGGCAGTGCTACAAATCTTTGTGCAAAGTGACTGTACTAACCGATTCTCATTTCAAGATGTCCTTATGGTACTTGCTACAGTGTAGCGGCTCAGTTTAGGCTGGACCCGTTGGCCAGCTACCCTCAGGGTCATTCCACGGTTGATGACATGGTCCACTATTGTAGCTCTGATGTCATCAGCAATTCTATTTCTTACTCTTCCTACCCTTCCTCTCCCCCCTCCTCATCTTCCTCTCCCCCCTCCTCGTCTTCCTCTTGCTCCTCCTTGTCCTTGTCGTCCTCTTCATCCTACTTCTTCACCTCCACGTCCTCTTCCTCGGCCTCCTCTACTTCTCACTCTTTCTGCTCCCTCCATTGTACTCCGCACACACAGCTTACCTGTATTATAGTGCTTAGGCTGATTGCAAAGTGAACTAATTATCTAAGAAAGTTTTGACATGTGAAAGTGTGCCAGACAGTTGGCAAATTAGTGTTAATGATAGCCATACATGTGTATACTTTTGCTAGGAGTGTGTTGGAAATTTGGTAATTGAGTGTTGTGTAGTTAATTGTGCCTACAGTTTTGCAAAGTGTGTGTTACAAAATTGCAAACTGAGTGCAAAGCAGTTTTTGTGCTTTTAGTTTTGCAAACTCAGTGAGTGGTTTTGCTATAAGTCTGAATAGTTTTAGAGATTGTGCTACAGGAATCACAGTTAGGGTTTAAGCATTCAGAAAAAACTGTAATATGGGCCCTTCACAGGTTAGAATCCCCAGTAGGAATTCTCTGTATTAAGTCATCTACATAATTCAGCTACAAATAAAACTGGACTGTCCATCACATAATCTAGCCATCATAGTATAAAGTGAGGAGATGCGCTGTAGACTTCTCAGTCTAATAATATTTGGTCTAAATAGGTCATCAAAATGCCGCTACAGTCCTTCGTCCTTTGGGATGTCCCCGCCGGTCTACAAGACATACAAATGAGCACTTTCTATTTCATCAGAAAACCTCATCGTGTCTCGTGCAAAGCTAAATTCTTTTGAAAGGAAGTGAGGTTTAAGAGTGAATGGACTAAACAGTAAACAGAGCACAAATAATCAGATACGGAACAAGGCCGCAACACAAAGCACATACAAGGCCGGCACATATTAAAGAATAACGAGTGCAGAAGAGTTTTAAAAATAAAGCAGGTTACCGTCAGGTCACAAAACAAAGACAAATGGACTGGAACGACAAAAACACATAAGAGCTGACATGGATTAAAACAGTTTACAGCAGGACACGACAGGACAGGACAGGGGGAGAGAAAGGAGAGACAATTTTGACAACCCAATAAGAAAAATGATAAATCCAGGCGTTAAAACAAACAAACAAACAGCTGACAGCCACTAAACAATAGCGGAGCTTAAAAACAACACTGAAACAAAAATGATAAGTTAACCAGCTGGTAGCTTCTGCAATGGAAGACTGCACACGGCAATGCTCTAAAGTTTCATCATGATCAGAAGTGACAGCAAATAGCGAGTTCTGAAATTGCATTAATAAGGGAGGCTTTCTGCAGGAAATCTCTCTGCTCAAGACTCCCCACTGCTACACGAGGAGGTCAGAGGTCAGTGTCAGCCGCAGATTAGCAGGCTGGAGTCACAGTTCAGGAGCGGGACACTTGAGCGGTGCTGAAAAACACATATTAAACATTTTACTGCACTACATGGTTCTCACACCCAAGGTCAGTTCTTTATTTTCTGGGTCATTGTCTTTTTGGGAGACCGACAGAAAGTGAAACAGACCTTACCCTGGTTCCACCACAGCCCAAGTGATCCAGCACCTAAATAAATGCTAATTGTGTATGTTTAGGCAAGGAACAGGTCATTATCTTATTTTAAAAGAATCTACTGAAAAACAAGACTTTAATATACCTGGGGTTTTTTTTAAATGTACATGTAACCATCAACAATGCTAGAGCAATGAAAAAGAAAAGGCACAGAGTGGATCAGTTAAAGAACTATAATAAAGATAAGTACACTTTGTACACTTGTATAAAAAGGGCCTTCTCTTCCCTCTTACAAACATGGCATGGAGCTATAAATAGCAGCAGAAGGCTGAGAATGAGATTTTTGAAGCATTCAAGACTTTCTCCGAGCACAGACCAGCATGTCTCTTCCAGTTTCGCTTTTTTTGCTTTGCTAGTTTTGTGAGCCTTGTTTCAGTAACAAAAAAATAAAATTTGACAGTAGAAACAGTTATCTGAAATGAATCAGCTCAAGTTTAGATTTTGGCGCTGCCGTTCTCAGGACGTCAAAAATGAAGCAGCTTCTCTTTTTGAAAGGCACTTTGACGGCCGCTGGTTAATTCCTCATGCACATGTGAATGTTGACTGAGTGCACATCACAGACTGCATATAAAAGACTTTTATACGCAGTCTTTGATGTGCTTATAGAACAGCTGTAAACGGGAGACAAACGCCAGTCACTCCGGCCAGAGTACTGGCGCCCAGACGATGACCTACCTCAATGAGCTCTGGTCGCAGGTTGATGGTGCGTAACCAGTCTCGCAAGTGTGGATAGCTGTCTAGGGCCTCGGGCCTCTCTGTCTCTGGCACTTTCTGCTTGCACTGGAGCTGTTTACAGATGTATTTCATCAGCTTCACCTGCAGGGAGCAATAGAGAACATAGCAGAGAAGGGAGGGGCAGGTTAGCGGGGGAGACTGGGAGTCTGCTACGAGCTACATGAGAAAGAGCAGGCATTCACTGTGAAGGGTATCTGTCACACCTGTGTTGGCAGGGTTTTATTGTTGCAGAGGTACCACCTTTAAAGCAGAAACAGACCGAAAACTGCTGTTTTCACACGAGTGACATGACACTGACCTGACACCAGATGAGCCTCTGTTACGATAAAGTCAGACACGTGAATATCTCCACACCCTCGCTTACTGTTTATTCCCCCTCTACTGAGCTCAGTGTACCTGCAGTGACAGCTCCAATGTTTCCCTGTGCCCTCAAAGAGACAAGCTAATTAGATATAAACTGCTATTATTATCCAGAGGAACAATGACCTGGTCATCTAATGAGAGCATCAGCAGTGCTGCCAAAGCAAATGTGTCTGTTTGCAGCTGAGAAGCATCAAAGTTCAGAGTGATGGAAAGAAAGTGCCCATGTGACTAGTTTCGTCCCACGGGCATTTTCCTTCAAACTTTCTTATTTTCTCTGAGCTTCTACAAATCTTTTACCCTCCACTTCATGACAGAGCCAAGGAGCCATCATTTTCTTTCCAGGTTTAACACATTGTGCACAATGTGTCCACAATGTGATGCCTCTATGAGGCCAATTCTTCTCTCCTTTACATGTCATTTTTCTAATTTTTTTCAAAGTTAATTTTTTTCTTTATTTTTAATAGAGCTAGGGGCTTTCATCATAGCATTTCTAAACATACTACATTTCTTTAGAAACCATGAATTATTTCTATTTGCACTACAGAATTATTACAGAGAAAGCGAAAATGACCATGATATTATTAGCCCTCTGAAAAACGGACCTTTTAACTGAGCCATAGCACAAAGCACTGCTGTGCAACGGTGTGCTTTAACTTTGTAATGCCCAGAGTTTGTAAAATCAATTCCCAAGTTAAAAACTGAGACACTAATCAGTTTAGATTTGAGAAAAAAGGTAGATGGACAAACAAAGTTACCACAGAGCAATACCATCAAGATATTCAAACACAGTACAGGACAAGTCTGACAGAGAAAGAAAACTAATGAGAGATGTGTTTAAAGACACCAGAACACCTGCTAAGACACTAGTGAATGACTTAGCCAAGTATGGAATTGCAATCTCAAAGAAGACAATCACTGGAACCCTGCACAGAAATGTACTGTGAGGTGACAAACCAAGAGACACCTTCAAGCCAGACTGAAATATGCAAAGGACAACCTGGAGAAAGATTATATGTACTGGAAATGTGTCCTTTTGTCAGATGAGACAAAACTAGAGCTCTTGGGCTGCAGAAATGCTGCTTATGTTTGGAGAAAGAAATAAGAGGTGTATAACCCAAAGAACACCACTGTAAGCTGTACACCTTTATGTGTACAATATAAAACTATTGTCCAGTATATTGAGATGAGCTGTAACTCTGTCAGGTTCTAAATAAAGTATTCCTTTCAACAAGATGCACAGACACCTACTTCTCCTCAGTTTTTTTTAATTAGCAGGCTGGGTGCAACCTTTGTTGTAGTGTCACATGACATCAGACCCAACATCAGTTAACATCCCATCAGTTAATATTGCTTTACCTTGTTTTTGTAGAGGAATAAATGATCGGCCTATCAATGCAAATGATTCCACTGGAGTCTGCACAAATAAAATGTAAAGCTGTAACAATTTAATCTGATGCCTTCCAAAAAACCCACGTTGAGCGCAGTGGTCCTGTGAGTAAGTATAACAATGCTCGCCGTGGTATTGGTTTGCAACGGCCTGCATTGTGCAGCTCAGCGTGACTGTATAGAGTGTCCTTATCTCACCGTCTATCTGTAAGAATCCATTACAGCAGGCAGCACCTTGAGATGAGCTGAACGGCACCAGCTACCTTTCGACCCACCGTGCACCTCTCGAGTGCCTGGGCAACAGCGACGAGCGTGTGTCTTTCTCTGCTCATTGAGCTTCCTCTACTCACCGACCAGACAGAAACTCGTACAGCATACCGCGCTTCTCTCGGAAAGTGTGGCCTTGGGATGTAAAAAGGCTTCTTCACAGCAGCCAACAAAAGCCTCTCCACTGGAGGCCAGAGAGATGAAAGATGATAGAAAGAAGTTAAATTCTCAACGTGTTGACCCTGACTGAAGCTTTTTAGCTCTGCGAGCAGTCGTCAATCATCAGCTGCAGTGAGAGCATTATAAAATAATAAAACTGAATGTAATCCAATGAAAAAGAAATATTACCAGCACACAAGAAAGCACCTTGTCATAAAAGCTTCTTTGGCTAAATCGAATGTGCCTAAATACAAACGTTTAGGTCTTACATGCCAAAGAGTGCAAGCAAGCTTTACTAAAAAAGGACAAAAACAGAGCAGCATTTCTGACTTGAACATGCATTCAGCTGCCAGAGGTTGGCCTTAGAGGCCAGTAAGTAAGACCAGCTCCCTCTCTGGGAGGAGTGAAAAGACAGGAACATATTTTGCTGGAAACCTTTTTACATATGGACATGTATGCAAATGTACTGGCGTGCACACACACACACACACACACACACACACACACACACACACACACACACACACACACACACACACACACACACACACACACACACACACACACACACAGACCCATGTATACGGAGTAGATGGGAGATAGAAGCAGGACTGCACAAAGTGAACCTGTGATAAATGTGACATCCAATCCATTATAAACTCAGAATAACAGAGCCTGTAGTCCTTTTGGTTTTTTAGATCAGGCCTAGCATGGCATTTGCTCAGTGTGGCTAATGAGCTAGCCTCCTGCTTTACCTCCCTATACACCAGTGCAGCCCTGTGACGTCAGGTTACCTAGCAACCCCTCTTCTGAGTCGTCAGCAACATTTCAGTGGGATTTTCCCAAACATGTGAAACACAGAGCTCAGGCAACATACATATCACCATATAAACATCCCAATGTGTAGGAGCAAAAACACGACCAACATTTCTTTTATATTGTTCCTCCCACAGAGAGCAGTCTCTTTACCCATTATCATCTAAATGGGTAAGGTAGACAGGAGGACACAAGCACGAAACCCCCTCACCGATATCAGTACTGTGCATAAGAAGAGCACAGGCACGCACACGTCAACAAAATAATGGCAGGCTGGCCTGGTGGATATTATTTTTGGTGCAAAGGGAAGAAAGCAGTGTTTGACGTGTGGCCCGGAGGGGGAAGGAGGAGGAGGGGGGGAAATGGCGTCAGAGCCCACCTGTCAGCAGAGCTAAACAACACCATGGCAACAGCCTAATGCTGCGAGGGGATGAGTGACAGCCGGTTTGTTGGGCACCGAGGAAAGGAGAAGGGAGTCCGAGCACAGGCCAGCCTGACACAGCAGACTCGGGGAGCACATCCCACCGCTTCAGTTGTTTTGTTTTCTCAAGGCTCCTGCTGACACAGCCACTTCGGTGCACCTGCCAAGGCTATAAGCGTGGCCCTATCACAGAACTGAGCAACAATGCTCTATCCCCGGAAATGTTATTCGCAGATGAAGGTCAGCTCTCCCGCCCAGAAATCTGCACTCACGTCTTGTCGTCAGAACAGGCTCGCTGAATAAGAACACGCCTTATGTCATATATCATTAGCCATGTGGCCCCTCTGGACTAGGTAAGAAAAACCCAAAGAGGAGATACCGATATAAGTTTTGGTGGAGATTGAACAGAAAGTAGAGAGCACTTAAAGTCAAAGCACCTCTTAAAACTGTGTCCCAGAGATTTGCTTCATCATATCTGTATGCTACATTGTCACCATTGGCCAAAACAGGAAAAAAAAAAATCTAATCTTGACATATTTATGCAGGGGCCAGGTCACAGAGGGGAGGTGGGGGTGTGTCTGTCGGGTATAAACAGTTGACAGTCCAAGACAATGGCCTATAAATTGCCCCTCCTCCATCATTGTTAGCACCCATGCAAGTCGATGCTGGGTGGGAGTGGTAGGTCCAGGGGTACGTGTCTGTCTGAGCCTCAGACAGACCAAACAAGACACGTCTAAGAGGAGAACATGTGGCAAGTTTAGCCAGTTAAAATGTAAGGTTTACAAGCTGCTGTGAGGCATTGCACTTTTAAACATTTTAAAAGGTCTATTTTTAGACAATTACAACCAGGTATGATTTACAGCTAGACAAAGCAAATCCCTTCTTCCCAGAAAAGAAAAAAGTACAGCAGGCCTCAAAATTACAGGATGCAATCCTCAACTCACCCCCAGTCGGTTTAAGAATAGATCAACATCTGCCTACACTGTTCAACAGTATGTACTTCTATCTTATTGGTTACAACAAAAACAACAACAACAAACAGAGAAAGGGTCAGGGCTGATATAGTCACTACAGTTGTGTTTCCTCCTTTATACCCCCCCAACAGCAAACACACACACAGCAGTTGTCATGTCATGAGAAGCAGCACAGCGGATTGGCTTTGATTCTCCCCTCCCCTTTCCTCCCTGCTCTCCCTTCTCGAACGGGCTCTTTGCGCGTCATTTGATTTTCTTATTTAACAACCAACCCTGAAAATGCGTAGGAAGAAAGATGTCTAAATATAGATGCAGCCACAACAGCTCGCACCACGAGCGCGCAGCAAACTCTCTCCAACACTGTGAGGAGACAAAACAGAGTGACGCTTTGCTGTTTGCATTACATAGAGAGGTGATGAAAAAGAAAGGTAAGGGCACAGGCTGCTTTTATGGAAAGACTTACAGCATCAATGTATATATCTATATCTCTCTCATATATATATATATATACACACACACACATATACACACATACATACACCTCAGAACACACCATTTAAGGCCAGCGTGCACGAGCAAAGCACTTGATATTAGGGTGCATTTGTTTTCCAAGTTGAGATTCTGTTGGGATTACGGCTCAGGAACAAACAAGGTGCTAAAAGGCAGAGCAAGTGGATGCGTGGATGCAATAAAGCAAGAGTCAAGCATACATGAAGAGCTACAGTAAATGTAACAGAAGCACCACGAGAGGCAGACAGAGCCTAAGCCTGAGTGGGATTAACGTGTGAAAAGTGAAGTACCAGTTAGCACTCCATTTGAGAGGCCAGTATCATTATCCTCTCACTGGCAAGGCAGAAACCCCCCCCCCCCCACAAACACACACACACAGTTCAAGTGGAATAATAAAGCTCTCTCAATGAGAGAATAAAGTGAGTTCAAGCTGCTCTTGATTGCACTCCAGTGCAATATGGGAAAGATAACCCTTTCGCACCACAAGCGTGACAACTACTCTGACCTCACACAGACTGCTCAAATTCAACACACAAATTAAAAGTACTCGCAGCTCCAGCAGGAACGATATCCATGCCTCGCTGCAGAACAGACCTCCTCTGATATGACGGTTGCATGGTGGAGTGCTTGCTGGAACTTTAGAACCATGGCATGCCGCTGCAACCACTGCACGCCCCACCTCATCAGACACATCTCGCGCACGCCTGGAAAAGCAACACCTCTCACACAATACTTCTTAAGAGTCATTTGAAATCTACGACCAATGCACTAATCCACTTACTTCTAAGAGACGGGGAACGTAGTAAGAAGAATCTAACAGAGGGCCCAAGTGAGAAGTGAAACTACACAATGAAGGCAAGAGGTGGTTTCAAAAGAGCGTGCCAGTAAAGCTGTGGGAAGTAAGACCGCTGATCGGCAGAGGATCCCTAATGCCCTCCTCAGCCTGAAAGACATCTAACCCTAGCAGCGTTTCTGGCACGATACATTATCATGATTGAAACATTATCATGCCCGTCTGATAACCCTACTAAACCAATCCTTCATGTTACAAATGGATGCTTTCTGAAGAACACACCCAGAGAACAGCAAATAGGACTTCCAAATGTCTTCTTCAGTTTGTCTTGAGTTTTTCGGAGACAGAAAACTATCTATATCAGCAGACCGCAACTGTATTCTCCCCTCCTGCCAAAGATCTCTGCTTATCTTTAAGATTTCATCACATCAGTCTTTTTTTTCCCCAATTCTTGTTACTACCCCATTTGTTTTACTGTGTAGGAAGCATCCAGTTTAAGAAAAGCATGACAAAATCACTCCAAAGTCTGCTAACTCTCTAAAAACGGTCTACAAAATTAGAAAATAAGGACAAATAAAGCAACTGCAACATTTGAACAGCCTTAAAATCTTGTGCTAGAGGATCCATTTAGGCTGGCTTGGCATAGCAAACACAAACACAGTCATTGCATGGCAAAGAATTACACAAAGGAACCCAAGAGGTGACTGCACGTTTCCACTAGAGCTGTGATCTAAGATATTACGAGTCACGTGTTCTCAGACAAGTCGATTGTTGTCAGATTTTTTTATCTTTATGCTGCCACTTGCAGTAACAACGCAGCGTGTATGAACAGCTGCACCGTGAGCTCACTGCCAACTAGTCGCTGAAGCAGTTTAAACAATCAAAAGTACAGCTATAATCAGTGGAAATAAGAAAAAATACAATGACACACACACACACGTACAGCTGAGGCATAAAATCAGATAATGAAACGCAGACTGATGCACTTTTTATCTCCCCTTCAGGACTCGTTTGATTTCTGATTCTGATCCTACAGCAGGAAAGGATCCTGAAAGCTTGCGAGGTCTATAAAGCAGCAAACTTTGACTTGAAGTAACCACATCCACTGCTTCCACTTCTGACTTTCAGAGACAGCCCCTAATAACGGTCTCATAGGCACAGGAAAGAGACCCAGGAGCCTTCAAGAAACATGTGAGAGCGGCACGGCCTGTCCATTGTCATATAGAACAATGCTGGTGCAAAATGTGTCCACATGACAGCATTTCTCAGGAAGTACTCTGCCAGATCACATCCTGTTCCAGAGACAAGGTATGCATGACCACAGATGAAGAGGGGGTGAAAATGTGGAGCAGGATTCGCTTTGTACTCTTTGTTTTGAACCCGTTTATCTAGCTCAGCTCAGGCCCATATTTGATCATATACACACACACACACACACACACACACACACACACATATATACACACACACACACACACACACACACACACACACACACATATATGGTTTTGGGTTTCGGCTGGGACCGAACAGAAAGGCTACAAATATCCAAACTGATTTGCTTTGTTTGCTTTGGTTTCATTCAGTTGAAGAATTTGAATGTTCTTTTAAGACCAGGCTTCTTTACTCGAGCCTGTAAAAATTTGTTCCTGCACAGAATAGCTGCCAACTCGCACCTGATGCCTGTCAGCCAGCGAGGGAGCAACCAAATTATTTTATAGAGATTCATACAGTATTCTCAAACTGGATAAAAAGCTGCAGCTGAGTCCATAAAACAGCTCAGTCATCTCTCCTTTGCCTTTGGGTAAATTATTACCCCCCCAGGCCTTGCTGGTGATATTTGTATTTGTGATTCTAAGAGGTTACGGACACAGTGTAACCTGTCGTTTAAGGGGCTTCTTCCTTCATTAGCAGCAATTCTGGACCGCGCTAAGTATTTCTAAAAAGTAGCTCATTATATCACTGTGAGGCTGAATAGAAAGCAATACTTTTTTTTTAATGTAGGGCAACAGCCCAGTTGTTCACGGGGTGTTTGGTTATAAAGAGATAAAAGAGACATGGATAATTGATAGCCTCTAGCCAATCAGGAGTGAGTATTCCTTTTAGCTAAGGTACAAGGCTTTAAATAAACCATGAACCAGAAAACCCCCATCATCTATTATGTCTCCAGGATGTCACTGTGACATTTGAAGGCTTTGAACTTGTAATATTCAACTGTTTTCCACATCTTCAAGCCTCATCAAAATATACTGTCTGTATCAGCCATTTATATGCCACAGCACCCCCCCCCCCCCCCCCCCCCCTTCCTCTTCCCATCACCCTCCTCAGCAACATCCAGGGCTGAGATTTAAAAAAAAAAAAAAAAAAAACAACTGGCCCTTTTGTTGAAACGACTGCAGAAGAGAGCTATATGTATAACCCTGTTTCGCATGTATCAGTTATCATTATGTGGTAAACCGAAAAAACGCACTCCCCCGTCCCTCATTTGAATTTTCCTGAAACATGCGAAGTGAGAGCAATATAGCGTGCGTCCTGTGCTGACGCCTGCACGCCACCAGGCATGACTTCTCCACCGTGCCGCCTGCTATAGTAGGGTATGTTGCTCCAAAAGAGCAACGCGCAAAGCAATGTCAAGTCATCCCCGCACGACGTAGGTGAATCGGCATCCAGATGCAGGAGAGCAGCAGCAGCAGCACACCAGCCTTTGCCTGCTGGATGAGGTTGGGGAGGGGGGGTAACCACATGGATCGCGTCGTACATTTGTATTTGTCTCACAGGCCCCACTGTATGGAGGCAAAACCAAGTGCAGAGCGCCATACACGAACATATACATATATCTATATAAATAAAAGCCGTGAGTGTCTATTGAATGTGTGCCATGAGGCCAGGCTCAATACAGCTGCACGGCACGGTGCTGGGAACTATCCAAGGAGCTCCGGGCAAATAAAGAATATTCTAGAGGGATAGTAAAACCCAACGGGACAAAGCAAAACTTCATTATGAGCTCCTTTTATTGTTTTTTTTTTTTAATGTTTATTTTTGAGTCACCTCTACACAGCGAGCCAGCAGTAGCCCGTAAAGCGACAAAATGTGCTCGGCTCACTGACACTGATAGGGCGCCTCAGCCAATATTCAGCCTGGGAGGCGGACATAGCGCTGGGGCTTCATGACTCCGCAATTTGGCTATACTGCTTTCTATCTCCGGACGGGGCTTATGCACGGAGCCCGTGCTCGGGAGGAGGAGGAGAGGGGGAAGCTCATTACCTCTAAAGTTCGTATTTCCTGCTGTGTGAGGTCGTTGGTGGCGGCGCATTTGGTGCGTAGCCCCTGTAAGCTGGAGATGGAGATATCAATCATATTCTGGATCAGTTCGCACTGATGTAGCGCGGCCATCGCTGCGCCACCGCCGCTATCCCTCTCCGGCTGCTCATCACTCTCGACCATCTTTCCGCCTTTAGCAGACACACTATCCATTCCTCGGCATTGGGCACGGCTGGAAGGGCTGGAGTCAAAGTGTTAAGCTAAAAAAATGTAAAATAAAAATAAATCAAACATATGCAGCAGTCCGGCGACGCAGCGACCTATTGTGGAAGTTAGCTGACAGCAATTGTCCCCAGCTCCGAATCTGGAAAAAAAAAAAAAGAAAAGAAAAGAAATGGAAGCCCTGTGTGCAAACAAAAATGTTGACAGAGATGAAAATAAGGTGCTCGACGGTGACCCGGGTCCAAAGTCCAGTGAGGCTCGACTGAGAGGATACTCAAAGCTTCCACCGACACAGCTCTGACAGAGGCTTCCACCGTCTGTCAGCTGTTGGGAACATCATGGAGCGCGGTGCAATCTGGGAAATGAAGTCATATGGGTTACACCAACGTGCACTCCTCTGTCGTTCGTTAGTTGCTCACGCAAGAAAGCGAATGAAGAAAATGAAGGTTTTGAGAAGTATTAAAGTAACTTGTCTTCATCCGGGTGTCCTCCTATTTATTTTAATTTATTTTTTGTTGTATTGCAAGCTAGAAAAAGCGTATTAATAATACAATTAACGACGGCTTAATTGCATTAAACAGTTTTGATATACTGCAGGCTGATCCACTGTCACGTGCTTACTGGCACTTATCAGGGTTTTTGTTGTTTTAAAAGTCCGTGCTTCTCCTATTGTGACCATTTTTCAGCTGGGAGAAGATTAGTATGCAGGGTCACAGGTAGAGAAGCCTAAATCCAGGGGCGATTCTAGGATGAAACATTTAGGGGGGGCTCAGCCTCCAATCATAATGTAATGCATACAGTACAGGTGTCTGTGTAAAGGCCGTTAGGCTCAACAATGTTCTCCAGAATTTTTCAAAGTAAGTTAAAGAACTATTTGTAGAAAAGTGAGTGAGAGGAGAAATGTGCTGTTTCAGTCTCTTAACCACATAAAGACAGTCCATCTTACTTACGCAACTACTTATCTCTTACTTCTACTTAAAAACCTCAGTGTGACTGCACTGTAACATCACCACATCAACAACTGTGGACATTTAAATCTGTGTTAACTGTAACCTGTACCCACTCCAACAGATATCCATTGGTATCCATTCAGTAATACCAAAAAATATTACTTTACTGAATGAATATTACTTTACTACTGTGATTTTTTTAGTGCAATTTAGGGATGCTAAGTACCCCCCCCCCCCCCCCCCCCCCCCCCCAAATAGGCCTAAAATCACCAATATACCTAGATAAATAAAGATTATGTAAATGACTTTGTATAGGTCCTACCTTGTAACAGGAATGATCTTTGTGTTTCAAAATGACTTGACACCATTCATGATAGATATGTTTGACAGATTATAGGCCAGCAGGTCATTTTAGCAAATAGTGGAAATCGCTTTTTGGCAGCAAAGTAGATAATAAAGCAACTGCAAAATAATGCAAAATATACTGCTGTGGTGCTACGAGGACGTCCAGGCCTCAGCATACTCCCACTTTTTCTATTCTGATTGCAGATCTGTACAGAGAGGCAGGGCAATTCTAGAGTAGCTTTGGACACCAAGAATAATCACCACCTTTCACCTCACTTGCAGCTCCATACACTGTCATTATACTGTGCGGAGCAAAGCTGATGCACCAGAAGAACTATTTGGATAGGAAATTTAGCAATATGATTACAAGAGTGCCGACTAGTATATCCCCACATTCTTTGTATTTACATTTATTTAAAGACTGTGAATCAGTGCTGAATCCTCAGCTCATCAGATCAAGCTCACAGACTGTAGGCGACATCATAACTGCATAGTGAAATATACAAGGTGTACTTTGAGTAAAAGTGAGCTTTACACCCAGAGAATAAAGGATATGTGCATATTTAGTACACTTTTATATGCATATTTGGCACAAAAGAGACTAAAAAGTGATTTTATTGTCATCCTCACAGAGCATCGAAAGCCATAGGATGCATGGAGGCAGAAATGAAGGAATAACAATTTGTTACTGCAAAGTCGAAGCCGAGGTAGGTCGTCTGTCCTCATATCAGGACAGTGCATATTATATCTGTGGGGGTGGGATGAATTTGCAGGTTTCCACAACCGTTAAGTAGCAGTACACATGGCTTATTGCTGCAATGAGGGTGTGATGTTCCTTCCTTTAATATACCCTGATTATACAATGGAACGTGAGTCACTTCTCATGTAGCCCTGTGTTCCTTCTCCTCCATCTGTCTGTCTCTTCTCCTCTTCTGATTTGCAGGGAAAATGTAACTGTGTCTTACACTGGCCAAAAAAAAAAAAAAAAAAAAAAAAAATTACACCAGTCCAAATATCAGCCGCACATGGTAGCACATAGAAATCAGACAGTGCAGAAGTGAAAAACCAAGTAGAGGGATTAGAAACCTCACTCTAGCTGTTTTGGTACACCACTGAGTCAGCCTCAAATCACTAGAAGCTATTAAAGTCAAAATGAACAACTTTAGTTCGGCTTAAAATAATCTGTAACCCGGCTGTATTAAAATGTTATGTTTATTAATGCACATACAGTATAAGCAAGTTCTTTAAATTTAGAATCATGGGTTGAGAAAGGTGACGCTGATAAGTAGTCTCTTTATGTTTGAAGTTTAATCAATATTTACTCACAAACAACACGTCAAGTTGGACAGACCTAAATCTCGACTGAAACACAAAAGAGACTTACTAGGAAATCCGACAAGCTTAGATTGCTATATGAAATATTAAAATGTAAGTCGATTAAACTAAGCAGCTTGTTGAATTGCTTTATCTTTTCAAGGCGACACTGTAACTTTCTCACAAATATATTAGAAGTACATGTAGGAGCCTTGCTGTAATGGAATGAAACAGACACAAAGTCTCACTCTCGAGTTATTGTTGTTGTTGGTCCACCACTTTGTGAATTCAGCCTTGCTGTATTAACAGCACAGATTTGATGATGAAATGCCAGCAGGACACCACGCCAATTTCAGCTCCTCTCTGCCTTCAAAATCAAGTTACAAAGCGGAAACAGAGGGATCATTGTAATAAGGGCTTTACAAAGAAAACAATACTAGTATGCTAAAAGTTTCTCTACTCGAGGACATGCTCTAGTAATCAAACACACCGAGCAAAATGGAAAAGATGGTTATTCTGTGTTTCGAAATATAACGACAGCTATTTTTGGATCCTGTGTCTTTGTAGGGGACATAACTATTAAACTCACATATGACAAAAAGGTGAATTTTGAGCAGTTTTTATTTTTTTACCTCATGTGCGCTCTTTCTCGTGAAACATGTACCGTATTGATAAGGACAACAAAAAAAAAGAAAAAATCAGTCTCACCAGTTGTTCTTCCTCCCCATTTTCTGTTTTTGCTGCAGTTTTTTCCCCCAAGATTTTGTTTCCATTTTAAATGATACTTGAAAATAACTGGCCATTGACCTCAGAAATATGATTGTACATCATGTAAGAAATCCCACAAGTATCTGAGTGGAGCATAAGCACAACGGTCAGCTCGCTTGACACAACTCAGAGAGCTGAGGACGACATGATCCTTTCCCAGCCTCATGGTCTCTTAAGCCCTTTAAACTGTTGTACTATTGGACAGCCAAGGCACAACACGCGGCACGGAGCTCCCGGCTTTAGATTAAATTAGACCGTAGACAATCTAATTCCATCTGCTTTGCTAGCCAGGATTCCCAGCAGGCATCCCTTCAGGTCTTCAGAGGGTGAGCCCCAAAAACAGCATTTAAGACCCGCGACCTCTGACCTGGAAAGCCTGCCCACGAGGCCTGCAGCATAGCTAACAAGACACTTGTCTCATTGCACTGTTTGGATACTTATCCCAGGTACACATAGCTTTGTAAACCCTTAAGTATTTTCTATAATTCTGCACAATCGCGATTTTTACATCAGTGAGACAAAACATCACAAGTCAGGCTATTTATTTAGCCCAGTAGTAATTATCCAATCATAAATGTTTTCATTAGATAACAGTTTCTGGATTACAGGCAGGAGAGTTCACCTGAACTCCTTCACCATGAGGTCTTTTTGTTGTTGTGTCCCGCAGAGTGTGGTGTGTATTGTCTTGTTGAAATAAGTAAGTTCTTCCCTGAATGGCAGCATATGTGGCTCCCAAACCTGTATATATTGTTCACAGGATTAATGGGACCTTCACAGATTTACAAATTACTCATACCATGTGCGCAGATACCATCACAGATGCTGGCTATTGAGCCAGATGGTCTCTCTCTTTATCCATGAATGCAACTTCTGTGATTTAAAAAAAAAGATTTCAGTTTTAGTGTAACTTGAAGGATCAATTCAGTATGAGTTTTTCTTCTTTAATGACACTTCTGTAGATGATAAAATCATTAAGCGTCCATAGAATTTTAAATTGTTGGCCTATGTGCCCACAAAGCCTTCACAACTTGATGACCCACTCCACAGCTTTACTTTAGAAAAGCTCTGGGAGTTCCTCTGTTATTTCGCCCAGTCCTGTTAATATTTAGCATAATTAGTTGTGAGATGTTCCACTGGTGGGAAACTCATTCTTAAGAATTTTGTAACTTTGCAGTCTTTTGTTAGTTACAGCAAGCAGGTTTTAAATAATTTGATCATCACTGATTGCTGTTTTTACTGGTATTTTTTACACAACTTCCCAGTGGAAACCTTTTAGTTTTTAGCTCTTATTTATCCAGAAATACAGTCTTCTGTGTGCTTCCTACTTTCACTACTTTAGTTATAAATACTGCATTCGAAATTTTGGGTCAGTTAAAAAAAAAGGTGACAGTCATAAATCTGCTTTGGTGCTCTGAAAAATGCTTTGCTTTTGCTTTTGCTGATTTTTTTTTTAACTAACTATACATACCAACATTTTACATTAGCTAAGAGGTGAATTTCAGTTGCTCCATTTTATTTTGAAAGAATCAGTGAGGATTATTCCAATTCAGGACCATTTTTAAGAACTAATTTTACAGTTCTTAAATATGTCCATCAACAGCATTTCGATTAATTGTGAGTCATAGAAAAGCATGTTTTACAGTGCCAGAAAAACACACTCAAATGGTATGATGCACTTAGGTAACTAACTAAAATAACAAAGAACAAATGTATAGGAAATGCCTTCACTTTTAGTCTCTTATAAATGAAATTTAAACTAATACTGAAAATAATAAAAGTAAACTGAACACTTAAAAAAAATGGAAACTAAAATAAGAAAACTCACCCTGCGAACTAATTAAAACAAAACTAAATGTAAGAAAAATGTGCAAAATAAAATAAAGCAAAACAAAAATCAGCTACTATCACTCTGGCTGTCAGTTTGGTAAA